AGGGAGAGATTTTTTAAATTTCATTTTAAATACTCGCTGCCTGTTGTGGTGCCAAGATTGTTCAGGGCTCTTGGGTACCAGTTACATTAAATGAGGAATGTGCGCATTAATTCCATTCGAGCAACTAGCCTCAAATCTACTTTGACCCCTAAACATGTGGGGTTATTTCCTCCCGCCGCTCCCCAGACATCAGTAGGGCACTGGCTTCCTTGCCCAAGTCTTCAGGATGGGGCGAGGCACAAGGAAGACTAAATAGCGTCGGCGCATAGTAACAACTTTCAGGTTTGCTAATGACTGTTGCAAGAACTCGTCGCATAAGCACCTGACGATACTATTCAAAAGACGCCCATTTTAATAAATGGGGGCAGCGAGTTTGTCATTGCAGTCCAGGGCGTTCTCTTCTGCTGCAAGTCAGACACACCTTGTTTCGATGATCACTGAGCACAGTTGTGCCAAGGTCTTGCACAGCTGCCTTCAGGTATCATGTTTCGAAGTGTGTTCTAGTGCATGTGCGTTTGATGGTTATCGTGATGCGCTGGGTGTCTTTGAGGACCCGCTGCAAGAGCTGTAGCTGTGAAAGGATGCTGACAAGCTGGAAGGTGTGCAGAGGAGGGCAACCAAGATGATTAAGGGTCTGGGAACCAAGCCTGATGAGGAACGGTTGAAGGAGCTGGGTTTGTTTAGCTTGAAAAAGTGGAGACTGAGAACCATGTTCAAGTATCTCAGGGGCTGTCACATGGAAGAGGGAACAAGCTTTTTTTACTCCCGATCTGGGGGGGGTAGTACTCAAACCAATAGCTTAAAGGTACAAGGAAGGGATGTGGGTGGCGCTGTGGGTTAAACCATAGAGCCTAGGACTTGCTGATCAGAAGGTCAGCGGTTTGAATCCCCGCGACGGGGTGAGCTCCCGTTGCTCGGTCCCAACTCCTGCCAACCTAGCAGTTCGAAAGCATGTCAAAGTGCAAGTAGATAAATAGGTACTGCTCCGGCGGGAAGATAAACGGCATTTCTGTGCACTGCTCTGGTTCGCCAGAAGCGCTTTGGTCATGCTGGCCACATGACCCGGAAGCTGTATGCCGGCGCCCTTGGCCAATAAAGCGAGATGAGTGCCGCAACCCCAGAATCGGTCATGACTGGACCTAATGGTCAGGGGTCCCTTTACCTTTACCTTACAAGGAAGGACTAAACAGCTCAGGACCGCAATACCTCAAGGACCGCCTCTTTCCATATGAACCTACCCAGACCCTGAGATACCTTCTGAGGCCCTTTTTTGAGTGCCTCCTCCTCAAGAGGTCAGGAGGGTGGCAAGACGAGAACAGGGCCTTCTCTGCAGTGGCTCCCCGTCTGTGGAATGCTCTCCCTAGGGAAGTTCGCCTGGCGCCTTCATTATATACCTTTAGGCGCCAGGCAAAAACGTTCCTTTTTAACCAGGCCTTTGGTTGATCAGTTTGACATCTGATGCCCTTTTAAAATGTGGCTCTTTTCTGGGCTGTGTGTGTTATTAGGTTGTTGTTTTTATTCTGTTTATATATGTTGTCATCTTTTCTGTGAACTGCCCTGAGACCTCAGGGTATGGGGCGGTATATAAACTCAATAAATAATAATAATAAACGTCAGGAAGAACTTTCTGACGGTAGGAGCTGTTGGATAGTGGAACAGACTCCCTTGGGAAATGGTGGACTCTTCTTCGTTGGAGGTTTCTAAGCAGAGGTTGGCTGGCCATCTCTCATGGCTGATCTAGCTGAGATTCCTGCATCGCAAGGGGTTGGACTAGAGGACGCTTGGAGTCCTTTTTCCTTTAGTAAATCCTTATATATAGCCCAATTTTGTTCCATGTTTTTCTTTTTTATCATTATCGCTTCTAAAGGTGAAATCCACCAGCGTGTCTTAAGGTAAAGGGACCCCTGACCATTAGGTCCAGTCGTGGCCGACTCTGGGGTTGCGGCTCTCATCTCTCTTTACTGGCCGAGGGAGCCGGCGTACAGCTTCCGGGTCATGTGGCTAGCATGACTAAGCCACTTCTGGCGAACCAGAGCAGCACATGGAAACGCCATTTACCTTCCCGCCGTAGCAGTACCTATTTATCTACTTGCACTTTGATGTGCTTTCGAACTGCTAGGTTGGCAGGAGCAGGGACCGAGCAACGGGAGCTCACCCCGTCGTGGGGATTCGAACCGCTGACCTTCTGATTGGCAAGTCCTAGGCTCTGTGGTTTAACCCACAGCGCCACCCGCATCCCTCTAGGGTGTCTTAGGTTCCAGTAATTCCTTGTATTTTACCCATACTCTATATATTGGTTTCCTTATGATGTGATTAAGAAATCCCCTGTGGACTTTCACCTTTTCATATCCTAAATAAGCATGCCACCCATAACGGTTGTTAAACCCTTCCAAATTCAATAGGTCTCCATCTTGTAATGTTATCCACTCTTTCAACCAATCTAAGCAGACTGAGTCATAGTACAAATTTAGGTCAGGTTGGAGTCCTTTCCAGCTCTACGAGACTATGATTCTAATATTCTACGAAATGTGTCTGTTTACCAGGAATGCATTTTGTGAGCCTTGGCAGGGCAGACACAGCACACTCGTTTCATGCTAGTTGCAGTCTCTGCTTTCTGTTGCCTTCTCTTAACAATCCTAGCCTTGGTTTTGATCGGTGAAGCTCCTTAGTTACAGCACCTCTCCAGTGGGTGCCATTGCCATTCTAAGAGAACAGGAGAGGTGTTCATGGCGAGTTCTGGCACTTCTTTTTTTAAAGATAATAATATCTATATTCCAGCCTTCACCAGAAGATCACAGGGCGGTTTACAGTGTAAAACCACAAAAATGCATGGCACAACATCAACGAGAACAACCAATACCCCCCAGTCCCAAAGGGTCCTCTGCTGCCCATGTCGTGCCGCTCTTCCCATTTCTGAATTAGCATGAAATCAGTTCTGCACTCAATAGCTGGCATTCATCTTCTATAGGGGAAAAACATGCCTGGCCCATAAGAGCTTTGATGGCAAAATCCTGTGTAGACCAGTTTTGTCGTGGTGAGACTTAAACGAAACCACAGGGTTTAAAATTTTTATTTCTGGAAGTTTCAGCTTTAGGGTGAACTTGCACAGAAGTGGGATTGTTCTGCATTAATGGGAGCTTTTGATTCCGGAGTGTCAAGCAGTTTGGAGTGCATTTAAATAGTTCCTCACTTAAAACAGTTGATGGTGCTCAAGCGATCGCTGCCATCATTCACTCCCCGGAACCACAAGCACTCTGCGCTCTTGCCTCTAGCAGAACACGATCTGAATATATTATGTAGTCCAAGGATCCATGTGATTTGCTGGCAGTCTTGTGCTGTTGTTCATTTATATTTATTCAGTTTCTTTATTGCCCTTTATCAAAAGATCCCAGGGTGGTGTACAACATTAAAAACACATTGCAGAACTTCAGTGATAAAAACATAATAAAAGGCATAATAATAATAATAATAAATAGTCATCATAATAACAGTCCACTTTTGCACACTTTCAAAGGCCGTAGATTATTTAATAGTCCTGGGGAAAGAGGAATGTTTTTGCCTGGAACCTAAGGACGTGCAATGGTGGTGCCAGGCGAGCCTCTCTGGGAGGAGCGTTCCACAACTGGGGGGCCACCACAGAAAAAGACCCAGCTCTTTAAAGAAGTTGTAGGCCAGCCCTGTTCATAGTAGAAGCCATGGTAGAAGCTGACAAAGTTGTGTAGGACAGAGCTGAAGCTCATACTATGGTGTGTGTGTGTGTGTGTGTGTGTGTGTGTGTGACTAACGTGGCTCTCTAGATGTTGCTGGACTCCAACTCTTATCACCCCCAACTTGCATGGGCTAGTAGCCAAGGATGATGGGAGTTGTAGTCCAGCCACGTGGGGAGGCTCAGAGGTGAGCCACCCCTGCAATAAAGGACGAAGTAGGCGAAATCGGGGTCTCAATCCAAGTCTCCTGGATCAGGCCAGACCTGCTTCTTTCGCATTGTGCCCTCCAATATCGGGTGCCGAGTATGAGCAAAGCATAGAAATGGCACAATATTCATTCCCATTTGGGTTGGCTGGCAACAGTTACGTTAAAGGTAAAGGTAAAGGGACCCCTGACCATTAGGTCCAGTCGCGGACGACTCTGGGGTTGCGGCGCTCATCTCACTTTACTGGCTGAGGGAGCCGGCGTACAGCTTCCGGGTCATGTGGCCAGCATGATTAAGCCGCTTCTGGCGAACCAGAGCAGCAACATGGAAACGCTGTTACCTTCCCACTGGAGTGGTACCTATTTATCTACTTGCACTTTGATGTGCTTTTGATATGTTAGGTTGGCAGGAGCAGGGACCGAGCAACAGGAGCTCACCCCGTTGCGGGGATTTGAACCGCTGACCTTCTGATTGGCAAGTCCTAGGCTCTGTGGTTTAACCCACAGTGCTACCCGCATCCCTAACAATTACGTTACAAAGGCTTATTTCATTTAAAAACAATTGGTACCAGATCTTAAGTCATAAATGTCATCTGTGTGCAGCAGCAGAGCAGGACTTCAGCGTCGTTGTTTGTGAAGGCAACCATCGTGGTCTCCAGACCTAAATTATTTTCAGCAATGCATGCGCAGTTCTGATGCACTTTCTTAACATGAAATATGTCGTGTGGAATGAGAGGAATTGAGAACCGACAGTGCTGTTCTTTCAACGAGTAGGGGAAGCAAAACCTTCTGATTCTCTCCCACCCCCTTTTAAAAAAATGCTTTCTGTCACACATCCCCTTCTTGATTCAGTGTCGTTTGAGGCTGGCATGTACCAAGTGTTCGCTGCGTTCTGCATGCTGTTTCCGACCTGTCAGCAGCTGTTAAGGCTGTGACAGCAAGATAAAAGGCGATGTTCTGAAGTCTGAAGGTTTCTCAAAACCACATCCCAGGCTCTCACAATTCTTGTTTGCAATGTTCGGAAGTAAAATTGAGCAGAGCTCGCACACGGCTCTGAGTTGCACATGACTGGCAGATCTGCTTTGTGGGCATCGGCTGAGGATGAGGACAGTTCTTGCGTTCTTGGGTCCATCTTTCGGCACGGAAGATGGCTTGGCAAGTTAGGCTGCCTCTCGCTGTTTGGGGCACACCCTCTGGTCGCCAGTTGCAACCGTCATGCGCCGTGGGTCCCAGCGCTCCGTGACACGATGTTCGTGACAATTTCGGGTAAAGTGAAATCCCTCCCATTTTTCAATATTTGTGTGTGAGTGCGTGAGAGAGAGAGAGAAGTAATTTGAACAGAAAAATAGTGACATGCTTTTCGTTCTGAAAAAAATGAAACCAATATTTGTGTGTGTTTCAGTAACTGGGGCATGACTCTGTTTTCCCCCTCTGGTTGTGGTGCTCAACAGGAGAGTGCTCTTATGTTGTGGCTTCCAGATGCAATTAAGGCTATTTTCAAGCATCCTTTTTGCTGCTTCTGAATATGCGCTGTGCCTCTGCACTTTATGTTTAAGAGCAGGAAATCTTGGATTTAAATCTGTTGATTTAAAGCAGAGTCCAGCGGAAGGATGAGGAAAATGTGCTGCATACTCTATATTGCTTTATTTACAGTTCAAAGCTGGTATATTACAGAAAGACATCTTGCCTCTGCAAGAGCAGAAAATGCATCCTCTCTCCTCGACAGCTCGGAGAGAATCACACAGTGAAAAAACAGGAAACCAGTGTACGTCACATCCAGTCTCCCTTTCCCGTGAGAAACTCCAACAGTACAGTACAGTACAGACTGTGGAATGTAAACACCTGTCTTGTGACTGCAGTTGCTGCACAGTGAAGGAAAGCAGAAACTAACATCCTCCCCCTTTCTGTGAACATCACTGGGCAGCGTGTTCGTACAATATCAGTACAAACCCAACTTCTGCACATAGGTACAGTGTTGATCCCTCGATACAATCTTGGACAATACATCAGCAGGAATTTCATTACCTGGCATATAGGACACCGTTACGAGTCCCTTCTGAATACATTCCCTAGCATGCTGCAACTTTAATTGTAAGTGCTTTGTGCTTTGCTTACAACCTTCAGACTTCAGCAAAGCCAAACATGCTTTGTTGTCCTGGTAAACCTGGATTGGACATTTGACAGGAATTTTCATATCTTTGCACAATTGTACTAACCATTCACAATCCTTAAGTGAATAAGACAGTGCATTCAGTTCGGCTTCACAAGTACTTAAGCTAACTGTTGTTTGCTTCTTGCATGACCAATCAAACAGACTCTGATTGTACATATAGCAAACTCCAGACGTACTTTTCCTGTCTGTAGCGTCACTTCCAAAACTTGCATCTGCAAATATCTCAAGACCACCAGACTTCTGATTGTTAAATCTCAGTCTGTAATGCATAGTGCCTTTCAAATACCGCGCTATGCGTTTCAGAGCTTTCCAATCCTTGACACTCGGATTGTTGACTTGTCTGCTTAGCAAATTACAGCTAACAGCAATGTCTGGTCTTGAACATCTGGCAATGAAGTTTAGCTTGCCTAGCACACTCCTGTACAGTGTAGTGTCAGAAAATGCTTCTTCAGTGTCATCTACCTGATAACTTGTTGTCATCGGTGTGTCTACAGGGTTAGCATCCATCAGATTTAGTTTGCTTAACACATCAGCAATTTTCCGTGACTGGTGTACTAGAATGTTACCATCTTGATCTCTCTCTATTTCCAGAGATAGGTAGTTGTTTACCTCACCAAGATCTTTCATGTCAAAGTGCTCTTTCAGTTGAGCTAGGCGCTATTGTACATTGCAACATCTTTCCAAAAGAATAATAAATCATCAACATAAAACAAACAGTACAGTTTCTTTTGCCCCTCCTCTTTGACAAATACACATGGATCAGCTTTCCCTTGCTGAAAACCTAGAGAAAACAATACTTCAGTGAGTTTTGTGTGCCAACACCGTGCACTTTGTTTGAGACCATAAAGGGATTTCTTCAGAGCACAAACAAATCCCTGTTTTACCTGTACGCCATCAGGTGGAAGCATATAAAGTGATTCATCTAGAGATCCGTACAGAAAAGCTGTATTAATATCATGGTGACTAATGTGTAGATTTTCCTCTGCAGCTAGCTTGAGCATAAGCCTAATGCTTTCATATCTCACTGTGGGTGAATAGGTCTCGTGATAGTCTTCACCTGGTACCTGTGCAAAACCTCTGGCTACCAATCTGGCTTTGTGTCTGACTATCTTGCCATTTTGATCTGTCTTCGCTTTGAAGACCCATTTGCTTCCAAGCAGTTTCATTCCTGGAACTACTGGAACTAGCTCCCATGTTTTGTTCCTTTCTAAGGAATCAAGCTCAGCCTTCATGGCATTTAACCATGGCTCAGCTTCCTTTGAATCCAAACCCTGGATTTCTTGGAAACTTGAAGGTTCAAATACCTTCTTGGAGCTTTTAACAGCTGTTACTGCTATCGTAGCAAACTCATCAGCAAATCTCTTTGGAGGTTTGCCTTTTGTGGCTCTCTGTGACCTACGAACTATCCTTAAGTCTTCAACACTCTCCTCTTCCTTCTTAGGAGAAAAACGACCTATTGTGAACAATGGTTCCTCCAATTCTTGATCAGAGCTTTCAGAGGGTCGCATAGAGGCTTTCGCACTCTTGAAATCCTCTGAATCACCCGATTCAGTTTCAGATTCAGACTCAGAACCTTCATCAGTGGGTGTGGGCTGTTGTGGTTGCTTTTGACTATCCTCAGTCTCATCACCGTCATCAGGATAACATTGGAAAATTCCCACATTCTCCCCACTTGGCATTGTACTCGACACTTCTCGTGAGCTTAATTGTCTTAGAGTCAGTCATCATTATTCTGTAAGACCCTTTCTGATAACCTAGAAAGATACCATGCAATCCACGCTTGTCTAACTTGGAGTTTTGTGGTGAGCGAACCCACATGTCAGAACCAAAAATCTTCATGTGTTTGATGTATGGCTTCTTGCCAAACATCTTCTCATAGAAGTACAACCAATCGCTGAAGATAGCCTGCGATTGTAACTGTAAACAAAACACGAGAGAGATTCGGCCCAATAACTCTCTGGAAGATTGGCATCATGCAGCAAGGTTTTTAATCCTTGAAGCAATGTCTGATTTGCCCGTTCCGCAAGTCCATTCTGCCATGGCGAGCGAGGACTAGACAAATCGTGTTGAATTCCTTTCTCAGTCAGAAAAGCTTCAAACTGCTGAGAAGTGAATTCCCCCCCGCGATCACTGAAAAGTGTCTTTATCTTCTTACCATGCACATTTTCCAACCAAGCACAGAATTCCTTGAACCTAGGAAAAGCCTCCGATTTCTGCTTGAGATTGTACACAAAAATATATCTAGAAAATGCATCAATGAGAACCATGAAGTATCTATTTCCACCCAAAGAGGGCGTAAGTGGTCCAACCAAATCAGCATGAACAACCTGGTATGGTTCTGTAGCTTTCCTACTAGACACCTTACCTTTCGTAGCCATTTTCACCTTGTTTGCTGCGCATGCTTTGCACTTCATGTGGTACCTGCAGGGTTTAATAGTCATACCTTCAACCAAGGCAGGCATTTTAGATACTGCCTCAAAATGCAAATGACCAAATTTGCGATGAAAATCGTGAATACATTCTGCATGTAAACTTTTGTTAGAACCTGCAATGCAACAAGTGTCATCCTGCACCACATCATCATAATACAAAACAAACAAACGATCAACATATTCTGCATGCAATACATAATCATTTTTCTTTGTGATGATGCACTTCTTGTTCTTGAAGGAAACGTCAATGTTCCGCTCATTCAGCTGTCCAACGCTGAGCAGATTATGTTTGGCGTCTGGCACGTAAAGCACATTCTGTATCGATAAGTCCAAACTGTGAAGAACAACAGTTCCGTAGCCTTTACTGGGAATAGTGTGGTCATCCGCCTGGTGAATCGCACCTTCCTGCGGTGTAAAAGACACAAACAGTTTCTTATCGTTGCACATGTGGTGGGTCGCCGCTGAATCAACAACGAAGAAAGATCTAGACGTCTTCTGGACCTCTGCAACCTTTGGAGTGAAGCGTGAAACCATAGCCTTGTGCTGCGTTGTCCTTGACACCGGACCTTTGCCTTTGCCTCGGCCTTTCCGCGTGATGAGCTTTCGCTGCGCTGCTCTGTCTTGGCCCTGGGATGTCTGCATTCCCTCTTCATATGGCCTAGACGTCCACACGTGTAGCATTTCACTGCCTTCAAAGCTTTGGCGCCATCTGGTGGTTCCACTGCACTATGGGATGACGTCTGTGAAGACTCCCCTTGCCCATGCAGCTAGCACCCCGGCGATCTGCTTCATTTAAAATCACGGCAGTAACAAAGTCCACTGTCAGCTGAGCAGTTGGTTGCACAGCAATCTGGGTTGCAACAGACTCCCAACCTGAACCCAAAGATTGTAGTATCATGAAAGAATACACAGCCTCTGGAAAGTTGAGTCCTCTCTGTTGCAGCTCATGTCTCAGATTTTGCATCTCCATCAGATGTAAACGCACATCTCCACCTTCAGCAAGAGCCATATTATGCAGCTTGTTAAAGTAGAACATAGTTGATCCAGCTTCTGTCCTTAAGTGAGCCTCTCTCAAAGCGTCCCAAATTTCTCTGGCTGAGGTCTTATCACGCAATAGACAGAGCTCTTCTGGGGATACTATCAATGTAAGAGTTCCCCTTGCTTTGGAATCCTTAGCTTCCCATGCATCTGTAACTGGAACTGGGGGTTGCTGTAATCACCTCAAACAAACCCTCTTTCCGCAGAATTGCCTCTGCATACTGAACCCAGTCGCTGTAATTTTTCTTATTGAGCTTAGGAATCCTACAAGCATCCTGAAGGGCCATCATGACTCTGGCATTAGCCTTCAGCGTCATATGCTGCTTTAAATCTTGCTGCGTCACTGCTGCAGCTGCCTCATTACAAAGGCACACTTAAAAGTTACTTCGATTTCCCCAGCATAGTGACTTGTGCCTGGGAGCCTTTTGCCTATTCCCGGCAAAACCGGCTTTAAAAGTTCAAAGTCCAGCCATAAAGCCATTATCTTGAAGCTGGCAGGCTGCCCGGAGCAGTAGCACATACCTCATCAATCACTTCTACGCGCAGAGCAGATTCCTTTCCGATCCGTCCCTCCCTCTGCATTCCGATCCTTTTGCCGGCACTCCGATTCGACCTCTGGGCCCATAACCACGTGTTGATTTAAAGCAGAGTCCAGCGGAAGGATGAGGAAAATGTGCTGCATACTCTATATTGCTTTATTTACAGTTCAAAGCTGGTATATTACAGAAAGACATCTTGCCTCTGCAAGAGCAGAAAATGCATCCTCTCTCCTGGACAGCTCGGAGAGAATCACACAGTGAAAAAAACAGGAAACCAGTGTACGTCACATCCAGTCTCCCTTTCCCGTGAGAAACTCCAACAGTACAGTACAGTACAGACTGTGGAATGTAAACACCTGTCTTGTGACTGCAGTTGCTGCACAGTGAAGGAAAGCAGAAACTAACACTCGGAGCCTCTTATTGTCCCTCCGTTTTAAAAATAACTACCCTCCTTATCTAGCGAAGGATGCCTCCGGCAATAGCAGGAATGCATTCCCTCGGTTTGAGTCATAGCGAAATAGCATGGAGGGAAAGAGAAAGGAGATGTTGACAAGGAGACCCTGGATGGCGAAGCTTTAAATTCAGCCCTTGCACGGGAGAATTGGCAATACGGCTTTGGATGAGATTTACGTTTATCTCCTCCGGTGAGAGCCGCTTTCCGAGCATCTGCTGACGTATTCTGCCTTGAACGAAGGGAGCTTTATATAACCCACTTCAGCTGGGGCACTTCCGTTGCTCCTTTCATTCTTTGCACCCCGGAAAGTAGAAGTTCGGTGCTGCAGCAGCACATTTTAGCGACCCTCCTGCTGCCGTTTCCCCAAATCATTTGGCAAACCTAGAAGCCTGGCTTATTACAGGTGTGTACATTTCCTTGGGGACGTGGGTGGCGCCGTGGGTTAAACCACAGAGCCCAGGGCTTGCCGATCAGAAGGTCGGCGGTTCGAATCCCCGCGACGGGGTGAGTTCCCGTTGCTCGGTCCCAGCTCCTGCCAACCTAGCAGTTCAAAAGCATGTCAGAATGCAAGTAGATAAATAGGTACCGCTCCAGTGGGGCCAGTAAAGCGAGATGAGCGCTGCAACCCCAGAGTCGGCCACGACTGGACCTAATGGTCAGGGGTCCCTTTACCTTTACGTTACATTTCCTTGAGAGCATCTGGTCCAAGGAGGAACTCGCTTTTCAATCAGGTGCTTCACCTGTTCCTCCCAAAAGCTTAAGCCCACCATTTCCCAACTGAACATTAAAGGTAAAGGGACCCCTGACCATTAGGTCCAGTCATAACCAACTCTGGGGTTGCGGCGCTCATCTCGCTTTACTGGCCGAGGGAGCCGGCGTACAGCTTCCGGGTCATGTGGCCAGCATGACTAAGCCGCTTCTGGCGAACCAGAGCAGCGCATGGAAACGCCGTTTACCTTCCCACTGGAGCTGAACCTATTTATCTACTTGCACTGGTGTGCTTTCGAACTGCTAGGTTGGCATGAGCAGGGACCGAGCAACGGGAGCTCACCCCGTCGCGGGGATTCGAACCACTGACCTTCTGATCGGCAAGCCCTAGGCTCTGTGGTTTAACCCACAGCGTCACCCGTGTCCCTGTGACGCACTGGGAATTGTACAAAAAGAACTGAACATTAGTAATTATTTTGGCCCTGTTTTGTGGATCAGATCGTAACAGATAACATATCTTTGGACCAGTTCCTATTTCTAATGCCCTGCAAAGACTTGGTTTATCTTTTACAAATATAAGAATGCAGAATCTGGATAGATGCAGATGCATGCACATCAGACTCTACTTCTGTTTTCTTCTTCGGTCTGAACTCTGCTGCCCGAGGAATACAAAGTTCAAGCTTGCAAAGCTTTTAGTGGGCTATGTAAGCAATTTATTTTCATCTTACATCTGAAATATAAAGGCCTTTTGATTTTGTTAGCTTGGTTCATAATACCGAAAGCAGAAAGGTATTTTGTCACTTCTAAAGAGTAATGAATTGTATTATGATTAGGGATAGAAAAAGGAATTGGGCCTTGTTTGCATTTGCATGCAAATCTAATTAATCCATGTGTCCTGAAGCGATATGTGAAACAAAATGCAACTCTTCTTCAAAATCTGCACTTCTGTAACCATAAAAAATGTGCATATTATGGGAATGTGTGCTTCCCATAATATTATGGGAATGTGTGCTTCCCAAGAATGCATATATTAGTGAGAAAAACATAGGAATATGCACTGTATTAGGGGAAATCACTTGCAAAATCTGCACGTTGGGCAAAATTGCAAAGAAAAATATGTGTGTTAGGATTAATGGATGCTAAAGCACTGACGAATCTCTGGGAGGATTTTAAATAAAACATCTAGAAAGCGATGTGGAAATGAGGCAAATGGAACCTATGTTTGAAAAACGAGAAACGAAAATGGACAGATCCACACTATAAATATTTGTGAACGAGGTTGCGCTTCTGAGAAAGTGGACTCCGGTCAACAGAAACGTTTGCCGTAATAAATTTATTGTGCCTTTTAAGATGCCTCAAGACTCTTGACTGGTTTGGCAGCTGTAGAGCAGCAGAGCTACCTCTCTGGAAATTGGGGGAAAGCAAAGTTCTCTTCTGGGGCGAGGTGCAGTTGCGCAGCTAGATAAGGAATATACAGACAGCTTTGACACTGGTAATCATGTTGTGCGGATGCCTGATTATCGTCTTCCAAAGCAACTACTCTATTCCGAACTTAAAAATGGAAGGCGTAATGCTGGTGGTCAGCAAAAGAGGTTTAAAGACTGTCTCAAGGCAAATCTTTAAAAAATGTTGTATAAACACCGACAACTGGGAAGCACTGGCCTGCGAGTGCTCCAACTGGAGAACAGCCTTTACCAAAGGTGTCATGGGCTTTGAAGACACTCGAACTCAGGACGAAAGGGAGAAACGTGCTAAGAGGAAGGCATGCTTGGCAAATCCACACCGTGATCAACTCCCACCCGGAAACCTATGTCCCCACTGTGGAAGGACGTGTGGATCCAGAATTAGCCTCCACAGTCACTTACGGACTCATCGTTAAGACCATTTTCACGGAAGACAATCTTACTCAGCTAGGTAAGGTAAAGGTAAAGGTAAAGGTACCCCTGCCCGTACGGGCCAGTCTTGACAGACTCTAGGGTTGTGCGCCCATCTCACTCAAGAGGCCGGGGGCCAGCGCTGTCCGGAGACACTTCCGGGTCACGTGGCCAGCGTGACAAAGCCGCATCTGGCGAGCCAGCGCAGCACACGGAAACGCTGTTTACCTTCCCGCCAATAAGCGGTCCCTATTTATCTACTTGCACCCGGGGGTGCTTTCGAACTGCTAGGTTGGCAGGCGCTGGGACTGAGCAACGGGAGCGCACCCCGCCGCGGGGATTCGAACCGCCGACCTTTCGATCGGCAAGCCCTAGGCGCTGAGGCTTTTACCCACAGCGCCACCCGCGTCCCTACTCAGCTAGGAGTGATCGCCAAAGAAGAATAAATGCACACAGCATATGCAAGAACATTGAACCCCACATCGTATCTGAAACCCTCTTGCGGTCAAAGCTCTCCAATACAAACACACATGCGGAATAGTTGCGATGGAACTGGAAGCATCTTTGCCTGCCTGCTATGCCAAAAAGCTCTGTGTACTAACAGACGGTAGTGGCTGCTGGGGCACCCGGCGTAATAAAATTTGGCCGGAGACGTGATGTTCTGCTAGGCTAATGACCTGTGAAAGTATGGAAGAGGGGCTTTGGTGGTTGTTAAGTGCTGCAACAGAGAAGGAAACCAAGGATGCGTATGGAAGGCAAGGCTGGAGCCAAGAGATTCTTGCTTTTGCTGATTGACTCCGCAGATCCCGTTTTGCAGCATTCCCCCGACAGTTGAATGGGACCCGTCCCCTGCGGTTCCAGCACCCGGGAGGTGGCTCCAGCCCTGGGGATGTGCCGTGGGGTCAGGGCGTGTGGAAAGGGCTTCCTGATAAACCGGGGCCTTCGGCATCGGAGCCGAGTCCACGATTCTGCCGTGCGACTGTGGGAAAATAGCTGTGGGGGCTCCAACATGGAGTGTCTGCTCTGAGTTGCTCCAAGAACAGCTTGTTCAGGCCTTTAGTCTTTCCAAGGGGAATGGAGGCAGCAGGAAAAGGCAGACAAAACTATTGAAGGGGCTTCCATGCATGGACAAGTAGCAAAGTTTGAGGCTTTTTTTTTTATTTAGAGAGAAGGCAAGTAAGCAGGTTTATGTTAGAGGTGTGTGATGTGGAGAAACTAGACGTCCTGGCTGGATTTCTGTATTTATCCCCGTTTTGCTTTTTAAATATTGTGGGTTTGTGCACCGCTTAGAAATTACAAGAATATTAAGCCGTCCAGAAATACTTTTAAATCAAAAAATCTCTTACCTTTAAAGCCAAAATAAAATTGGGGGGAACTTATAACATCAATTTTTCTAAGACAAGGTGAAAATCCAGTCTATTCCTAGGTAAAGGTAAAGGTAAAGGGACCCTTGACCATTAGGTCCAGTCGTGACCGACTCTGGGGTTGCGGTGCTTATCTCGCTTTATTGGCCGAGGGAGCCACAGTTTCCGGGTCATGTGGCCAGCATGGCTAAGCCGCTTCTGGCGAACCAGAGCAGTGCACGAAAACGCCTTTTACCTTCCTGCCAGAGTGGTACCTATTTATCTACTTGAACTTGATGTGCTTTTGAACTGCTAGGTGGGCAGGAGCAGGGACCAAGCAACGGGAGCTCACCCCGTCGCGGGGATTTGAACCGTCCACCTTCTGATCGGCAAGTCCTAGGCTCTGTGGTTTAACTCACAGTGCCACCCGCGTCCCAGTCTATTCCTAGGGAAACACAAAATCCCATATCTGGATTCTTCAGGCAACCCGCTAGGTTTGGATTTTACTGCCTTTTGAACTCATTGGAGTTACTCAAAATATAACAGGGCAGGCAGAAGGACAATACACACATATAGTACACAGGCAACATTTGACACTTAACCCTTGGTATTTTCTACAATCATTAAGAAGATATTAGCAGAATGAGACCATTGCAGCAGCAGAAGTCAGTTTGTTAAAACGCACCTTATGAAAAGAAAATTTTGTTTTTTCTCCAAAATGGGAAGCGAGGGAGCTTCCTTGTGAAGACAGTCCTGTAGCTGTGGAAAGCCTTTCCTTGGTACCCGATAATAGAATAATCGATACAGGAAGAGCACGCCTTAAAGCATGGGCAGAGTGCCTTCTCCCCGCGCACAGATTGACTACAGCCTGTCATTAAGAAACAGGGGGTCAATTGCCTACCAGCCCACCCATTAATCCTAGCTTGCCAACTCTTGAACTCGTTTCAGCCTTTTTTTACTTTACTGGCGGCGTGTAAAGGTAAAGGGACCCCTGACCATTAGGTCCAGTCGTGACCGACTCTGGGGTTGTGGCGCTCATCTCGCTTTATTGGCCGAGGGAGCCGGCGTACAGCTTCCGGGTCATGTGGCCAGCATGACTAAGCCGCTTCTGGCGAACCAGAGCAGCACACGGAAACACCGTTTACCTTCCCGCCGGAGCGGTACCTATTTATCTACTTGCCCTTTGACATGTTTTCGAACTGCTAGGTTGGCAGGAGCAGGGACCGAGCAACGGGAGCTCACCCCGTCGCGGGGATTCGAACTGCTGACCTTCTGATCAGCAAGCCCTAGGCTCTGTGGTTTAACCCACAGCGCCACCCACGTCAGCGGCGTACAAACCATGCCTTTAATGCATATTTTTATAACATAATTTCCCCCAAAGAATCCTGGGAGCTGTACTTTATGCTTCATAAAGCTACAATTCCCAGCACCCTGAGCAAACTACGGATCCCAGGGACCATTTTCTGACAGACTCTTCCTTCCTGGTACTGACTAAAGCTCCGCGTGCCTGGCGTGCATTTAAAGCACCCGCCCTCTAGAATCTAGGGACGTGTAGTTTGCCACTGGCAGAGCTACAATTCCTTAACAGACGCCAGCTCCCAGGTTTCTTTGGGTGAAGTCGCATACTTTAAATGCTCGGCGAATATGAAGCCTACATGTGCGCAGGATGAGTCACAGGCCGGGGTGAGCTGGAAGACTCAGAAATGCCTGCCAAGCTCATGGGCTCGTGTATCACCTCTTTGTCCTCCTGGCACAAGCGATCTCGTCATTCGCAGTTCCACGCAGAAACACAGTGCTCTGCGAGTGACTCAAGCGGTTGAAACGCCCTGGGATTTATTGTCTGTGGAGTCGGGGGGCTTGCTCTGAATTGCAATGCATTCACCTACAAAGCGTATTTGAGTGTTGGAGAATTCGGTTGGAAACTGAAATGGGAGTGGACGTTGCCTCGGTTTTTACGTTTGTCTTGAGGTCAGAAATGGAAATCACGCAAGCAGATATGTTCACTGGGTTTTTTTTAGTCCACGATTACTCCATCAATAATTACGTTGTGTTGTGCATTGTTTCTGACATTTCCATTCCGCTGAAACGCATTGACATCAATTGCAATTACAGAGGAAGCTCGGGCTGCGAATGTGATCTGTGCGGGATGCACATTCACAACCCGCAGCGCCGCGTCAGCGCAGGCGCGGGTTGCGATTTGGCACTTCTGCGCATGTACAAAGTGCAATTTAGCGCTTCTGCGCATGCGCAACCAGCAAAACCTGGAAATAACCCATTCTGGTACTGGGTTTTGGCGGTCCATAACTCGAAAAAACGTGACCTGAAGCATCTGTAACCCGAGGTAGGACTGTATTGAAATCTTTTTCAATAGCAAGACAGCAAGACGAATAACGTACGTTTTTGCAGAAGCAGAACTGCATCACGATGGAAAGAGCGTCGATTGCAAATTAAAAAGGAAGGGACAGAAACTGCTGCCTCCTTGCATCCCAGGTCCTGGATGCGTTAGGAACTTAAGGGCTGTTTGGTAGACAGCGGAGTTGACACGGCATATCCACTTGCTGCAAAATTCTAAGTCATGTTTTTTGGTGTGTCTTATTTAGCAAAGCATACGAAGGGAAGCTGAAACACCCTCAAAATGTCTCAAGGGGTTTTGCATATCCCTAGCTGAGAGCCGGTTTTCGACGCCACAAATTGCCATGCATTTGCATTGTGCAAAGCACAGAGAGCATGCCACAAGGCGGTCATGGTACATGGACCCAGCACCATGTGACAGGGCATGGTAGGTGCTCCCCGTAATTGCTAAGTGTGACAGCTCTCTGTGACAGCTGTTTTCTAATTGTGCATTCATGTCGAGTTCACTTCCTTAAATATAATGAACCTCCTCCAAACCTTGCCCTGTAAACCAAGTGGAACACAGACGCGGCAGAGGCAGTATCTGGAATCCAAATGTGAATGTCTTCCTCTGCATTTTTCATGCACCCAGCTTCTAAGGAAATGCACCTTCAACTAGCTATGTGCATCTCCAGGTCTCCCTTGCCAACAGAAGATCTTGCATTTGCAAACCCTCCTTGCCTGTGTTGGGTCATGGAGATGCCCCCAGAGGAAGATTTTGTGCTATTCTCTCAATAATAATAATATATTTCCCCAGCCACTTTGGGCAGCTTCCAACAAAATATTAAAAATACAATAAATCATCAAACATTAAAAGCTTCCCTAAACAGAGCTGCCTTCAGATGTCATCTAAAAGTCAGATAGTTGTTTGTTTCCTTGACATCTGGTGAGAGGGCTTTCCACAGGGTGGGTGCCACTACCGAGAAGGCCCTCTGTCTGGTTCCCTGTAATCTCACATCTTGCAGGGAGGGAACCGCCAGAAGGCCCTTGGAGCTGGACCTCAGTGTCTGGGCAGAACGATGGGGGTGGAGATGCTCCTTCAGGTATACAGGACTGAGGCCATTTAGAGCTTTGAAGGTCAGCACCAATACTTTGAATTGTGCTCGGAAACGTACTGGGAGCCAATGTAGGTCTTTCAAGACCAGTGTTATGTGGTGTCAGCGGCTGCCCCCAGTCACCAGTCTCGCTGCCGCATTCTGGATTAGTTGTTTCCGGGTCACCTTCAAAGGTAGCCCCACATAGAGCGCATTGCAGTAGTCCAAGCGGGAGATAACCAGAGCATCCCAAGCGGACGCTGCCTCTTTCTGATCTGCTCCTGTGCTGATGGCGACTGCCTGGGCAGAAAGGGGATTTTCCTGTACATTTCTTAAGGTCACGGTTTTTAGGGCTCGTTCACCACTGCGGCTTACATCTGACCCACCCCGAAGCAGCTGAAACTATTAACCCAGCAAAGCTTTTGTTTGACGTAAGCCCTGCCCTTTAAGCGCCTTTGCGGAAGCCACGGACTGACGCAGGATCGACCAGCCCTCCTCTATGCTGCTGCTTGCTATCGAATGATAGGTCACTCACTGGGAACGGCATGCACCACGGCAACATCTTGAGAGGTTCTGCACATTCTCTCCTGCACATATGACGTTGGGCACGCCTAGCTGCTTTCGTGTGTCCCACCTGCATACCCAGACGCTCTTCCTGGTCTTGGGCCATGGGTTTCACCCTGGCAACACTGCTTCTTGGCAATCTCCCCCATGAAACTCCTTGAAGGGGTTGTGTTTGAAGTTCTCTGAACATGTGCAGAGTAGAGTGTCTTTGGCAGAGTGCCAACACTACCTCCCTTTCCAACAGAACTGGGAGTAGGTCTGATATACTTGGGTTTTTCCCCTCCTTACACAAAGGTGCACTGCATAGCTGCTCTCCAGCAGGGAAGGCAGGACCCATGTTCTGTGAGATTACAGTGGTACCTCGGGTTATGAACTTAATTCATCCCGGAGGTCCGTTCTTAACCCAAAACCGTTCTTAACCTGAGGCATACTTTCGCTAATGGGGCCTCCCGCTGCCACCGTGCCGGCAGCGTGCGATTTCCGTTCTCATCCTGGGGCAAAGTTCTCAACCCGAGGTACTACTTCTGGGTTAGCGGAGTTTGTAACCCGAAGTAACCCAAAGCGTTCGTAACCTGAGGTACCACTGTATTGTTGAAATTCAGCACTAGGTGTTTTATCGACTGTGGGGGAAGATGTCATTTATTTCTGATGAAAACAAGAATTGAATTTGTGGCTGTTTGCTTATTCATTCCATATCCATAATGCAATCAATTATGCAAATGATACTCTGTTGTTGTTGTTGTTATTTATATCCTGTTTCTCCCCAGACTGGGACTCAAAGTGGCTTACACAAATTAGAACCACAGAGATGAAATACAAAAAGCTTTTAAAAAAGAAGTTAAAAAGTAATTCAACATACAGTCGTACCTCGGGTTACAGACCCTTCAGGTTGCACGATTTCGGTACCGGAAGTACCGGAACTGGTTACTTCAGGGTTTAGGTGCTTTGCACATGCACAGAAGCGCTGAATCGCAACCTGCGCATGCGAACATGCGGCACTGCTGGTTGCGAACGCTGCGGGTTGCGAACGTGCTTCCCGCACGGATCACATTCACAACCCGAGCGTCCACTGTATTTCATTATGTCCTCACCCGCTTTGCATTGCATTTCCTCTGCATTGAAATGAATGCTGTGAAATGACTTATTGATGACATAATTTACCTAGTTCATTCTGTAAATTATGTAGCTTACGTAATTTGGCCACAGTGGACAGCGAGACAAATAATGTACGTTTTGGTGGAATACCAGCTGCAGTGGAATGGAAACAGTGCGGCCTGCGACTTATACAGGGTGGAACGGAAAACGATGCTTTCTTACATCCCAAAGGTGTTAAATAAGAATAAGAATGAAATAATTAATTATTATATTTACATACCACCTTTCTTTCCAATGAGCTCAAAGTAGTGTACACGGTGTAGTGGTTAAGAGCGGTGGACTCGTAATCTGGTGAACCGGGTTCGCTTCCCCGCTCCTCCACATGCAGCTGCTGGGTGACCTTGGGCTAGTCACACTTCTCTGAAGTCTCTCAGCCCCACTCACCTCACAGAGTGTTTGTTGTGGAGAAAGGAGAATGTTAGCCGCTTTGAGACTCCTTAGGGTAGTGATAAAGCGGGATATCAAATCCAAACTCTTCTTCTTCTTATATGCTCGCAACAACCCTGTAAGGTAGGCTAGGCTGAGAGGCAAGGGCTGGTCTCCAAGGTCCCCCCAGTGAGCATCATGGGGCTGAGTGGGGATTCGAACCCTGCTCTCCCAGGTCCTATTCCAACACTCTTAACCGCGGCGTTGCAGATTGTGTCCCACTGTTTGTATTAGGAGGTTCTCCTCGTGGGAAAACAGAGCTCGTAAATGCTGACAGATTTTATTCTCTCCTTCTCTCTTAAACGGTAACATAGATGTGGCATCCCTGCTGGGAGAAATCGAGATGTGTGAAAGAAGTTCAGGATGTTCTGGCTTTTGCCTGGGAGGGATACCCTCTCGTTGTGAAAAAGGGCCTGCGTCCCACATTAGCTCTTTTAGGGAAGGAGCGTGCAGCCAGCGTTTACTCACAACAATAAAAACAAAACAGCCACCCTCGGCCCTGAATGCATTTTGGCACAAAAGCACCATTAAGGACATTTGTTTGGCGTGTGTGTCCAGCCGGCTGGCCCAGAAACTGCAATCCTGGCTGCCTTTTGGGAAGGCAGATCTAGCCAATAAATTCCAGAATTAGCAGTAAACAGACCCATTTCCTAGGAAACTCTGGCATGAGGTCGGAGGGGAAATCCCTGCTCGTTTGGCCCCAGAAGATTCTCCGCCGCTGTGCTGGACCATGTTTGGAAGAGACCACGTTTAATGTTGGAAAAGATGGAGAGCAGGGGCCTCGTCTGCAGGAATGTGCAAGAGCCACATCGTTTGGGGTCGCTGAAAGAAAAGGAGGTGGCAAAGATCACCAAAAGGACCTCTTTTCAAACTAAGTGGATGGGCAGTAAAACGGCGAATGCAATTCAGTGTAGACAAATGTAAAGTGATAGGGGGCGGGAACTTATGCCTTATGAGGAACGGCTAAGGGAGCTGGGCATGTTTAGCCTGGAGAAGAGGAGGTTAAGGGGTGATATGATAGCCATGTTCAAATATATAAAAGGATGTCACATAGAGGAGGGAGAAAGGTTGTTTTCTGCTGCTCCAGAGAAGCGGACACGGAACAATGGATCCAAACTACAAGAAAGAAGATTCCACCTAAACATTAGGAAGAACTTCCTGACAGTAAGAACTGTTCGACAGTGGAATTTGCTGCCAAGGAGTGTGGTGGAGTCTCCTTCTTTGGAGGTCTTTAAGCAGAGGCTTGACAACCATATGTCAGGAGTGCTCTGATGGTGTTTCCTGCTTGGCAGGGGGTTGGACTTGATGGCCCTTGTGGTCTCTTCCAACTCTATGATTCTTTGAACCTTAATTTTGCATATATGCAAATGGGTTCTGAGCTGGCGGTGATGGACCAGGAATGAGACCTTGGAGATATCTTGATGAACATGTCAACCCACTGGGAGCAGCTCTGAACAAGGCAAGTTCGGTGCTAGGGATCATTATAAAAGGAACTGTGAATAATGGTGCCAGAATCCTAACGCAGGGATACAAATATGTAGTGCAACCACATTTGGAATACTGTCTGCAGTTCTGGTCACCTCACCTGTGCTGGAAACCACAGGGGGAGAAGAGGGCTTTTGTGCTCAGATCCGGCTTGTGAGCTTCCAATAATGGGTATCTGGTTGTGTTTTTTTTTTAAAAAGGTAAAGGACCCCCGGATGGATGGTTAAGTCCAGTCAAAGGTGACTATGGGGTTGTGGTGCTCATCTTGCTTTCAGGCTGAGGGAGCCGGCATTTGTCCACAGACAGCTTTCTGGGTCATGTGGCCAGCAGGACTAAACTGCTTCTGGCACAACGGAACACTGTGGCGGAAACCAGAGCGCATGGAAATGCCGTTTACCTTCCCGCCGGAGCAGTACCTATTTATCTACTTGCACTGGTGTGCTTTCGAACTGCTAGGTTGGCAGGAGCCGGGACAGAGCAACGGGAGCTCACTCAGTCGCGGGGATTCGAACCGACAACCTTCCGATTGGCAAGCCCAAGAGGCTCAATGGTTTAGACCACAGCGCCACCCGCCTCTGGTTAACCACTGGGCGAACAGGGTGCTGGATGAGATGGGCACCCTTGGGCCTGACCCGTAACACTTGCTGATGACCACATCATGAAAGATGGGTCTATCATTGGGCGATAATTCTTATGGACCAAGTAGAATCTCCATCATTAAAGTAGTGTATCTCTTTGTTGATGGTTGCGGAGAACAAACACATTGACCATCGCCTTCATGCCCACCTTGAAAATTTCCTAGGTGACCTAATGATGCTGCTGAAACCCAACTCCCATCAGTGCCCACTGAGGTCCAGCGCCGAGGGCCTTCTGGCAGTTCCCTCATTGCAAGAAGCAAAGTTACAGGGAACCAGGCAGAGGGCCTTCTCAGTAGTGGCACCCGCCCTGTGGAACGCCCTCCCATCAGATGTCAAAGAGATAAACTACATGACATTCAGAAGACATCTGAAGGCAGCCCTGTTCAGGGAAGTTTTTAATGTGTGACATTTTAGTGTATTTTTGGTCTTTGTTGGATGCTGCCCAGAGTGGCTGGGGAAACCCAGCCAGATGTGTGGGGTACAAATAATAAATTATTATTATTATTATTATTATTATTATTATTATTATCCCAAAAACTCTGGACAATCATCCCCCCAAAAAGTTCAAAGCTCAACAACTCTGGGCCATCTCCCCCCTCCCCATTTTCTTAAATTTGAGTCCTGCAAAATATAGGTAGTCTTGTACGGGGGCATGTTATACACGGAAAAATACTGTATAATCCTCCTTCTCCTCAGCCAGAGCTAATTGATTTGTGTGACTTGCTTGCTCATTCATTCTCCCTGTACTTCGTCGCTCTCTTGATTGTGCAACCACAAGGAGCTATCCACGGCAGCACTTCTGCAGGGGAGAAAAAGACGGGGCTGCTTGCTGGAGCCGCTGCTTTAACCTTAATTGCCTGCGTTCTGTCACTTACCTGAGGCTGCTAGCTAGCAAAGCAGTAGGAAAGGAACTTTGCTTTCCAAAGCAGCTGGTTTTGTTCTTGCTGTTCTGGGCCTGACTCTGTCTTTGTCTGGTGAAGTGTCAGAGACTCTGGAGACAGGCAGGAATACAGTGGTACCTCGGGTTAAGTACTTAATTCGTCCTGGAGGTCCATTCTTAACCTGAAACTGTTCTTAACCTGAAGCACCACTTTAGCTAATGGGGCCTCCTGCTGCCGCCGCGCTGCAGGAGCACGATTTCTGTTCTCATCCTGAAGCAAAGTTCTTAACCTGAAGCACTATTTCTGGGTTAGCGGAGTCTGCAACCTGAAGCGTATGTAACCCAAGGTACCACTGTACCTGCCCCCTTGCCCTGTCTTTCTATACGGTGTAGAAAGATAAATTCTCCGAAAAGTACAATAGATAGTCTGCTGCAATGTGGCATTGCCATGCAGATGCATGGAAACAGATTCTAAGATTTTGCAGCAGTGAATTTGCTCCTGTGAGCCAGTGGTTACAATCGCAAATGCACCCGAGTCAGACCAGACACAAAATGAATTTGAAAGATTTGTTTAAATCGCAGCGCAGGAACGATGAAGATAGACACACCCAGTGATATCTGAAATACAAGGAGAGAAAATAATGCATGAATGAAACAGAGGAGAGCGATTTGTAAAGGGAAAGCATTGTTAGACTAGCAAATAAAGTTTTTCTTTATTTAAAAAATGGTTATTATGCCCTGATTGAAAACCTCCAGAAAAATCCCTTCCATCAGTTCCGACTAGTTAAAGGTTTACTAAACTGCCTTATAGCAGCTTAACCTGAAGATTAAGGAGCGGGGTTGGATTATGGCCTGCGTGGACGAATGAGGAAAGTTGAGAAAGATGAAACGGTTGAACAGGAGCCCAAATGGCACAAATCGGAAGTTAGTTCAGGAAAAAATAGAGAAGTGTTTAAAATTGAAAAAAGTGAAGCCTAAGACTTACAGAGGAATAAACAGAAAGTAAAATGAAAATGAGGGGAAGCAAAAACCCTATAAATCTTGCATCTGTTTCAGAACTGTTCATCCTGGCTCAGGAAAAATGCCCAAGATCAGCTTCTGGAGGTAAATGAGTTTCTTATATTTTGAGTCACTTTTTTCTCTTGCCCCATTCCCCCCACTAAAATTCACTTCTGTATTGGCAAATGAAGCATCGAAGGCAGGCCCCTGCTAAAAGCAGGTGTTTTGCTTTAGATGATTTTAAATTATTTTGGGGGAGTGACATATTCCCAAGCTTAATCTGGGCGAAGGAGTCTCCCGAAGGCCACTCTAAGCTGCTAATGAACCTTCTATCTTCACCCGGCCTCGTGATCTCAGCTTGACTAAAGACTCGCCAGGCTTTCTGCTTCCAGGCAGATGGAGAGACCTTTGTGCCTTTGAAGGAGACAGCTCTGCCTGCTTAAAACCGTGAGCCACAGCACTCTGGAGCAATGTTTGCTCCCACTTCGTTCCTCGAGATTCTCTTCTGCCATGCAAGCAGACACACGTCTCCGAAAAAGAGCGGAATAACAGGATCATGGGATTGGAAACGGCAGTCTATCGGAGATGCCATCAGGTTCAGAGGTGGATCATCTCCTGTGCTTGCAGAAGGTCTTGGGTCCAATCCCAGGCATCTCCAGGTGGGCCTGGGAAAAGGCTTCCTGGCTGAAACCCTGGAGAGGGCTGCTGCCAGTCAGAGTAGACAGTATTGCCCAATGGTGTCGCTCTGTATAATGCAGTTTCTTATTCTGATTTCTGGGCCTGCCTTTCCGTCTTGCTTCTAGACTGCAGAGAGGCGAACAGCCTAATTTGAGTTCAACAGACACCAGCCCAGGGGAGAGCAGCCACATCAACCTCGAAGCACCCTACTTTCGCCTGCTTGCTCGTTTCATTTATTTGCAGAAAACTGTACCTCTTAATATAATAAAGTCTCTCCAAGCAGTTTGTGTTAAAGGGCTTTTAAAATAAAAATAAAATGCAGCAAACGTTTCCTGAAAACTAGATCAAAACAAAGCAAAAAGTGCATGTCACCCGTAAAACTGAGCCCTGCACATACTGGAACAACTGCCTCACGTAATGTGCGCGAGAAATGTCAGCCTTTATGTCCCCGTCTAATTTAATTCCGTGGGATCAGTGTTGGGTTTCCTTCGTGTTGTTTACCCTGAGGCTTTGAGCTCTGTGTGAGCTGGCCGGCCATTCTCCTCTCCCAGGCTCCCAACGCTTGTTGACATTTGTCTCATGCTCTTTTTCGATGAAAAGGTATATTTGGTGTGGCAGAAGAACCTGGCTGCTGGGCCAGACCAAAAGCCTGTCTGGTCCAGCATTGGAGTCTCGACCAGAGGCTGATGGAGGAGCCTGCAAGGGGCACATGGACAGGGCAAGAACACTCTTCCCACTGTGATTTCCCAGCAACTCGCATTTGGAGGCACGCAGTCTCTGATCCCGGAGACGGCATGCAGTTAACGTGATCAGTAGCCATTGTCTAGTCACTTTTTAAAGCCATCTGAGATGGTTGCCATCACTACCGTACTTCCTTTATTCTTTCCCTGAGTCTCCCATCATTCAGCTGTAAGGAATGACCCCGTTGGGTCTTAATAGCATGACAGAAGGAGGAAAACCTCTCCGTAATATCCAGGCATAGTTTTATGTATCAAGCCCACATTCTTCTGCCCAGGCTGCAACCCTCAAGGCCCTTGGTCCTCGCTTCACACCTTCCTCCTGGCAGGAATGCATTCCTCAGCTGGAATGTGGCCTTCTGTCAGATAGAGGTCGTCTCCAAACCATCCCCTTCTCACCATTTTATTATTCTGGGAATTGTGATAGTGTCTCTTTCTTGCTGGAAAGGAGATAAGTGCTGGTCTGCTGTTGGGGTAAAACCTTTGTGTGCAGGACGGAATGTAGCCTGCAGACTGGTTCCCAAGTTTTTCTCTCCTCCTGAGCCGCTTGAAAATTGCTGACGGCGGAACACTTAATTATTATTTTATTTTTTCCTGCCTGTCGCAGCAAGTGCAATGCTCTGTGCTAGATGCTGCGTGGTTTGAAATCCCATCTGAATGGCTTCTTTTGTTTCTTATGTATTGCATTTTATCCATAGGATTCAAGTGGCAATGCAATGTAAGATGCAAAATAAAACTGCAATTAGCAATCAATACTAGTAGTAATAATAATAATAATAATAATAATAATAATAATAATAATAATATTTTATTTATATCCCGCTCTCCCCAGCCAAAGCCGGGCTCAGAGCGGCTAACAACAATAAAAGTAACACAACATTCTAAAATCAATTCATTTAAAAATCAATTCAAAATCAAATTAATGGCAACCATTGGGCTGGAGTTCTGTGAGGATCAACAAAGGAGGGGGTCAGACTGCGCCTTGGCCAAAGGCCTGGTGGAACAGCTCTGTCTTGCAGGCCCTGCGGAAAGATGTCAAGTCCCGCAGGGCCCTAGTCTCTTGTGACAGAGCGTTCCACCGGATCGGGGCCACAGCTGAAAAAGCCCTGGCTCTGGTTGAGGCCAGCCTAACCTCCCTGTGGCCCCGGATCTCCAAGATGTTTTTGTTTGCAGACCGTAAGGTCCTCCGTGGGACATACCAGGAGAGGCGGTCCCGTAGGTACGAGGGTCCTAGGCTGTATAGGGCTTTAAAGGTTAAAACCAGCACCTTAAACCTGATCCTGTACTCCACCGGGAGCCAGTGCAGCTGGTATAGCACCGGGTGAATGTGATCCCGCAGCAAGGACCCTGCAAGGAGTCTCGCCACGGCATTCTGCACCCGCTGGAGTTTCTGGGTCAGTCTCAAGGGTAGCCCAACATAGAGTGAGTTACAATAATCAAGTCTGGAGGTGACCATTGCGTGGATCACAGTGGCTAGGTCAGGGCGAGAGAGGTAAGGAGCCAACTGCTTAGCTTGGCAGTGATGAAAAATAGGGATATTTAATGCAATGGATATGCGGAGATGTTCCATGAAGCGCCTGAATGAAGCTTGCAGACCACTTGGGGACCTCCTGTCTCGTGTACAAGCCACATCCATTGAGCCTCCCACTTCCTTAGCCACACCAGCCCCCACCAAGCGGCCCCCAGATTCCTGGGTCATGAGGTAGACTAGGGCTGCAAGCTTTAATTAACTGCTAGATTAATCACTGAGAATTGCTCTCTTTATGTGTGTTTTTAATTGCAGAGTGAACCTTGCCTCGCAATTGATAGGCAGAGTTGGGATTGTTCAGCAGTTATCCCTTTCAGTCTGCAGAAACTCATTTCATTTTCCTTATGCTATCATAGTTGGGGGCGGGGAGCAAATTAAAGATGTGCGGTTTTGGGCAGGGATCCTTGTTCCCTAAACCACCTGCCAGTTTTGCATTTCAGGGTGAGAGATGAGAATGACTTCCTTCTAACAATCCAAAACCAGAGGCAACTGAATCTGACAATGATCAGACGAAAATTGGAGCCGACACAATCTCTTAAATCTGGATCTCCTGCAATACTTGTTGGCTTTGCTGATGCTGCTTTGATGTGTTACTAATAAGAGGAAATCATATTCTAGGTTCCTCAACATGACAAAGCACACTTATCAGGAAGTAAACCCTCCTGAACTCGGTGTGACCTCATTCCGGGTAGATGTGTTGAAGACCGGGTTGCAGATTATCTCCCGGTCGAAAAGCAACAACTCCCTTCCTCCAGCCTCCTTACAAAGGCATCTTCAAAAGATTAGGATACGAAATCAAATCAGTTAACTAGTAAATGGCTGGCTAAAATCCGCAAGCGCTCAAGTTCAGTTTAGTTACGCCTTTGTGTGGCTTTTGATGTTATAATTTGATGTATTTTTTTATTGCTCGTATCAGTTGCAATAACTTTGTTCTGTTGTGGAAAGAAAGAAAAATCTGGTCAAAGAAAGTGTTGGAAGGGACCCTGAGGATCATCTAGGCCAGGCACCCCCAAACTCGGCCCGCCAGATGTTTTGGGACTACAATTCCCACCATCCCTGACCACTGGTCCTGTTAGCTAGGGATGATGGGAGTTGTAGTCCTAAATCATCTGGAGGGCCGAGTTTGGGGATGCCTGATCTAGGCCAGCCTTTCTCAACCTGTGGGCCCAGATGTTGTTGAACTACAACTCCCATCACCCCTAGCTAGCAAGGCCAGAGCTCAGGGATGATGGGAGTTGTAGTCCAACAACATCTGGGGACCCACAGGTTGAGAACCGCTGATAGGCCAAGGTTTCCCAAACTTGGGTCTCCAGCTGTTTTTGAACTACAACTCCCATCATCCCTAGCTATCAGGACTAGTGGTCAGGAATGATGGGAATGGTAGTCCAAAAACAGCTGGAGACCCAAGTTCAGGAAACCCTGAATTCTAGTCCAACCCCTGCCTGCAATGAAGGAATATGCACCTGTCCCTTATGGGGATCAAAACTGCAACCTTGGCATTATCAGCACCTTGCTCTAACTAGCTGAGCTATTCCTCACCACATCTGTCTTTCATGTATAAAGAAAGAAGATAAGCTAATGATAAAGGGAAATTTTTAATCGTTAAACTGTGGGATCCTCCCCAGAGTTGCAGCGATAGCCTTATCTTCCTCCTGGAATTTGCCTAATCCTCTTTTAAACCCATCCAAATCGGTGTCTGTCAGTGGATATTGGTTAGGAAGCATGGGCTCTGTGCTAGCTCACCATATTGGACGCAACATCCCTCTTAATGCCAGTTGCTGCGCATTCCAGTGGACCTTCCATCGCGTCCTGCTTGCAGGCTCCCATCCCATAATCCTCTGGTTGTCCGTGACGGGAAACGGGGGAGTGGGCTAGAATGATCCAGCTGCACCCTTTTAATATTTTTCTGTTAAACCTTCACAGCAAACAAAAGAGAACAACACAAACCTAACACATCACAAACTCTCCATTATCCAGGTCATTCCCCGCCGGTATTTAAAATAAAATTTCGATGCTATAGCCAGAGCCTTGTTGCGGTTAATGAGTAGAAATTATATCTGTTGCTGATCTGACCCATGTCCGGGAGGGGCCTTATCTAGCCAGCGAAGAAATGCGCTCCTCTCTTCTGAGAAAACTTTGAGAACAAAAGGAGAGTTGTGTGGGGTGTAATCTTAAGTGGTTCTCAGCCCCTAGGTGAGGCAGAAGGTATTTTCCAGCGGAGAAATGAACGTTTTGCAGGTGCAAGCACTTCCTAACGCAGGGATGGGATGGGAAATTTTCAGGCATGGGACGTCCTCAGGGCTCTCGCAGAAGCGCTGCTCGGGGGCCCTGTGTCGCAACGGCTAACCTCTGATCTTGCCAAACCCGCTAGGGGAGAGACTGCAATCTGCATGCTAAGGGGGGTGGGGTGGGACAGGGACTGCAGGCGACTTGCTCCAGGCCCTCTGAGAAGAATGCGGCTGCTGGCACGTCACCAAGGATGCTCTCTGGCTATGTGAGCAGAAACAGGCCTCTGCACAAAGCCGGAAAGGGGCAGTGGTCTGTAAAAAAATAAATTGATGCTTCCATGCACAAATAGTTTGCAACGCAGGCGTGGGTGTTTTGTGGCCAGCTGTCCATGGAGGCACCAGAGTGGTGCATGCTCTGGTTATCTCCTGCTTGGACTACTGCAATGCGCTCTACGTGGGGCTACCTTTGAAGGTGACCCGGAAACTACAACTAATCCAGAATGCGGCAGCTAGACTGGTGACTGGGAGCAGCCGCCGAGACCATATAACACCGGTCTTGAAAGACCTACATTGGCTCCCAATACATTTCCGAGCACAATTCAAAGTGTTGGTGTTGACCTTTAAAGCCCTAAACGGCCTCGGTCCAGTATATCTGAAGGAGTGTCTCCACCCCCATCATTCTGCCTGGACACTGAGGTCCAGCGCCGAGGGCCTTCTGGCGGTTCCCTCACTGCAAGAAGCCAAGTTACAGGGAACCAGGCAGAGGGCCTTCTCGATAGTGGCGCCTGCCCTGTGGAACGCCCTTCCATCAGATGTCAAAGAGAACAACAACTACCAGACTTTTAGAAGACATCTGAAGGCAGCCCTGTATAGGGAAGCTTTTAATGTTTGATGTATTACAGTATTTTAATATTTTTTTGGAAGCCGCCCAGAGTGGCTGGGGAAGTCCAGCCAGATGGGCGGGGTATAAATAATAAATTATTATTATTATTATTATTATTATTATTATTATAGCGGTACGGCTGTCACATTTGGGGGCTGGCATTCGTCTGTCTCTGGAGACAATGGAGGAGTGCGCCTTTGGGGGTGATGTCAAGCTGTTGGCAGACTGCAGTGCCTGTTGCGGCTGCAGCGACTGATGCAGGAGAGACATGTTTTGTTGCAGCCGGGGCAAAGGAAGGCGTCCGGTTGTGCGGATGCACCAGGGCGTTTCTTCTCCCAGCGGCCATTCCTCCTCTGGTCCTAGAAATGGGCCGTATAAATGGCAAAACGAGAAGGGCCCTAGCTCAGGGGGAGCACCTCTCTTTGCACACAGAAGCCCCTGGGTCCAACCCTTGGGTTAGGAATGTCTCCAGCCTCATGCCCTGGAGAGCTGCTGCCAGGCAGTGTAGCCAATACAGTGGTACCTCGGGTTAAGTCCTTAATTCGTTCCGGAGGTCCGTTCTTAACCTGAAACTGTTCTTAACCTGAAGCACCACTTTAGCTAATGGGGCCTCCTGCTGCCACTGCGCCGCCGGAGCACGATTTCTGTTCTCATCCTGAAGCAAAGTTCTTAACCCGAGATACTATTTCTCGGTTAGTGGAGTCTGTAACCTGAAGCGAATGTAACCTGAAGCGTATGTAACCCGAGGTACTGTGCTAGATGGAATAGCGGTCTGACTTGAGCAGAAGGCAGTGTCCTGTCTAAAGGTCGTGGGTTCAATAGCCATACAGACCACCTGCATATTCCTACATGATCCTCTGGGTTCCTTGCATCTTTACGGTTTTACAAATGCAGGGAAACCTGCCTGTCGTTTTCCCACGGGCACCTGCTTGGCCACTGCGAGAACAGTATGTTGGACCTTTGATCCTGCAAAGGGCTTCTGATATTTTTTAGACAGCGCATCTCTTCTTTGCACGGTCCCACTGTTTGTTTGTGTCTTGCTTTTCTACTTGGCTCTGCCCTGGCAAATATACCGGTCTGTTTGTGCCACCTCTCAGATGCCTTTCCCCCCTCAAACTGGTGGACCTGATGCTGAGCTCCCCAACGTACATGCCAACCTCCCCGCCCCCCCAAATTGAAGATCTGCTGCTGCACTTGGGTCCATCCTGTGCACAGCCCATAATGGGCTCCCTGTTGGCCACCATGGGAACAAGATGCTGGCTAGATGGGCCGCCAGCCTGATCCTGCATGATTCTTAGAAACATTGAATTGTAGAGTCGGAAGGGACCACCAGAGTCATCTAGGCCAACCTCCTGCAAAGGCAGGAATCTTTTGTCCAATGTGGGGCTCGAACCCGCAACCCAGAAATTATGAGTCTCATCATGCTCTGCCGACTGAGCTATCTAGGTAAGACTTCACATCCCTAATCCACAAAAGCTTTTCCCGCAATATATTTGATAGTCCTTATAAAGTACCGCAAGACTCTTTTGGGCTGCGGTCGCTGGACTCGCCTGCAGTGATGGCTGCTGCCCATTGGGACTGGAAAGGGGGGGGGGAGGACCAGAGCAGGCGGAGCCAGTGTGAATGGGAGGCGGAGCCACAGCTCAATGAGAGGCGGAGCCAACTAATGCTAGTTAATACCCCTATCCCCCTGCTCTTTGGCAAGGGGGCACCACTCTCCCACTCACACAAGGCAGTTCCATATCTAGAGGGAAATAAGGAACCCAAGAGTGCCACAGGCTGAATCAGTTCTTCAAAGGCAACACAGAGGAGGAGGTTGATTCCAGCCGGCAGCGCCACCCCCTGGACTGGTTGTAAGTAAGTACCAAAGCAGGCAAGGACAGGCAGGTGGGCTGAGGTTTGTTGAGCAGCTGGTTGCCCTGATAAGTTTACAAGGACCCTACTGGTTGCAGTGGTGAATTCTGATCTTGGCAAACTGAATGTGCATTTTGGGAAGCTGTGTCACTTACTTGGGAAAGTCAAAAGCTGCTAAAAAAAATCACCCCAATTCCTTCCTTCCTTTTTCTTTTTCCTTCCTTCCTTCCTTTCTGTTGCATTTCTTTTAAGAGTAGTTGAGAGTCTGAACTGGAGAGGGTTTTGAAGGAGACTCCAGGTCTGTTCTCTTCTTCTTAGGACATAGCTTGGGATCTGTTGGGTGCTGGGCTTTCTTGCAAAGAGTACTGGGTGGGTTGGATTTTGGTATCTATCATCTATCTATCTATCTATCTATCTATCATCTATCTATTTCATTTGCATCCCACCCTTGCTCCTAGTGGAGCCCAGGGTGGTAAACAGAGTAAGGTGGTAGCTCATAAAACTCTTAACCTTGGAGTCATGAATTCAACCCCACAGATTCCTGAATTGCAGGGGGTTGGACTAGATGACTCTGGTGGTCCCTTCCAACTCTACAAATCTATGAACTCCCAGCAGCCAGCAAGGCCAATCAGGAATAAGATGGTGAGAAGTGTAATCTACAAACATTTGGAGGGCCATGGGTCCCTTTTCTCTCTATAAGGCAGCTAAGATCCTGTTGGTGGAGCACAGTGGCTCCTCTCCCTCCCTCCTAATAATACTGAAATCCAAAGACAACCAACAGAAGCTGAATGTTGTGCTTTTCCACCCATTGCATAGTGAAATTACGAAACTCACACCTGTTTTTCTTGGTGTTTTTGCAAAAAAAATAGCTCAGCAACAACTTTGGGGTTTGTAAAAAACAAAACAAAAAAAATCCCAACAATTTCGGGGTGTCCTGGCAACCCCAAAACCACTTTGAGGTTTCCACACTTACGCGGCATAAACAACAGGTAAATAATAAGGGAAAATAAGCGTGCTCCCCAGAGATCCGAATTCCAAAGGGAAGCTGAAACAACCGAGATATGCAGGGCTTCTCCCTCCTTATCCGTGCAAAACGAATTATTATTATTAAATTAATTTGTGTACCACCCGTCCCCCGTAGGCATAGGAGCCAACTCCTAGGGGCCGAGGTCCTTTCGCCCCCCTAAAATATTTGAGGGAGTGGGTCCCCTCAAAGTTGATAGGCATTACAAATGGTGTTTGTGCGTGATCTTATGATCGATTATGTTGGGTGGGGTTACACGGCCCCCTCTATGGGTGTAGGCAGGATTTATGATGGAGGGGGCAGGCTTTATGGTAGGGGGTGCAGAACCTCAGTTACTTAAGTATTTTTATTGATTTCTGTTGATTTGGGGGGCATCTGCCTCCACTGCCCCCCCTTGGCTACGCCCTTGCCGCCTCCCCAACATTTTCTTCAAGTCGGCACTCTGCCCGTGGATCTCAGATCGGTTCAAGGCGACTCTGTATCCCCCTCCCCATCCCGGGGCGCAGCGTTCCTGCGCGAAGAGGCGCTGGGTCCTGCTCGACGGCTGCTGCGCGCAATTGCGCCTCCTTTTGGAAAGCGCCCCTAGGGGGCCCGAGCGCGCCAGGGGCGAGGCGCCCCAGGGTGCGGGCGCAGCGGGAGGTCGCCGGGGCTTCTCCTCCCTCCGCCTCCCGCGCCTCCTTGGGGAGAGCCTCGCCGCGGGAAGCGCGCTAGGACCGGCGCGGGAGGGAGGGAGGTGTGTCCCTCGGCGCGGCTGCTGCTGCCGCCGCTTCTGCTGCGCCTCCGCCGCCGCCTCCTCCTGCTCCTCCTCGGCCGTCCCTTCCCCTTTCCACCCTCCGCAACCCGGGCCGATGCGCGGGCGCTTTCAGTTCGGGCTGCTCTGCTCCTTCCGACGGCGGCGGCGAGGCGGCAGGCGTGGCGCGCCTCGGCGATGGTGTGAAGCGCAGCCCCGGAGCGGCGGCGGCGATGGCAACGGCGAGGCGCGTCTTCCACCTCCAGCCATGCGGTGAGTGCCTGCTTTTGCCGGGGCGGGCGGAGACGGAGGCAGGAAGGAGCTCGGGCAGCCGCAGCAGCCGGCGAAGGTGCCCCTCGCCCGACGGGGTCACGGGCCAGCTGTTGCAGCTCGCTTGCAAAGTTGCAGCTCCTCCCCGGAGCGCCTTTTGCAACTGCGCGCTCCGTCCGGTTTCTGGCGGCAAGCACTCCCAGCTCTTCATAAAAAAAGAGGGCTGACGGTTCCCCCCGCTTCCGCAACTTTGGGAAGACTTCCTCACCCCCTGAAAAGCCCACAAAACCGTCTCCCTCCAGTTTGGCTTTTGTACGGCTTGCTGTCGTGCTCTGCAAAGTTTTTGCAAACCAGCGAACGAGCCGAGCTCGCTTTGCGCACGCAGAAGGGGAAGCAAAAGGGAAGCGGCCCTTTTTTGACAGGAGGATGGAGGGGAATTTAAACAAAAGGGAGGGCAGGTTTCGCTGCGCGTAAACAACTCCGAGCAAGAAGGCAGATCCTGTACTGGCCCGTGTCAAGGTGTTTTTTTTGCGGCTTGGGGAAGGGCCACATACAAAAATTAAAGGGTTTGGGGGCGCTTCTTCTTGGCCAGCCGCAACTCCCCAAAGATCTGCGGAGCGAGCACCGAGCTCTCCTTTTTGCTCCTAGCTTAAGGGAACAAGAGGTTTGAAGCCTTTGTCAAATACTGGGTTTTCAAGCTATTGTTAGTGAAAAGGGAGTGCTGTTTTGGCAACATCCAGCGGTATTTTCTGTACTTGACTTTTTGAAGACAAAACAAAACATAATGGGCTTTAGTTGCTGCAATTGCTCTTGTTGAAATAAGGTAGTTGATGGTCTTCGAGTTATTTGCAAGCGAAACAGAGGCAGTGGATGTTGTGCAATTCAGTTTGGTTTTGGTTTTTAAAGCGGTTGTCAGCACTTCCTTGAGTCTTTTGTTTTGTTTTTTTTGAGGTTGCTGGGTTTTCCCCCCTTCTCTTCTCTCCTCCCTCGCCTCCCTTTCCTTAGAAGCAAAGTGACTCCGGTATAATCTTGTGGGGGGGAACTTCTCCAGCGTTTGGCCATTGGAGGGAACGGGGCGATTCTTATCCCTACTTTTGCAGGATGCACAAATCTCATTCATTCCCTTTTCTGGCTTTCTGGTTGCTTTGCTCCTCAGCAAAAAGAGCTGTAGGTGGCAGAGCAGTTCAGCTCATTGGGGACTCACAAATCTTGACCGCTGCAAGCATTTCCTGTAAGGTGTCCAGTCCCGGGATGTGTGCGGCTGACCAATATATGAGTTGCAAAAGGTGCCATTAACTCTGCGAGGTCCTTTCCAAACAAGTGCACCTGTTCTCTTTTTATAGCTATATTCTTTGTCTCTTGTTACTAGAATTACCTGTCCTGGGGTAGCCACAATATCGGAACCCAAGTGGACTTCTGGGATTATCCAGCTGAGTATAAAGACAAGTGTTTGTGTTGATGATGGTCAACGCTAATTATCTGATAGCCTTTGATGTTTGCAGCTTCTCGTGCCTCATGTGAAACTGTCAGCTTCTCCAGATTGTTGTATTCTGCAGCTCCTAAACAAGATGAGGGTTTGAGCCAATGAGTCTCAAAGCCTTGCTGAATTAGGGATTTCCCCCGCATGTGAAGACAGGTTCTGTTGTTGTGAGTGGATGAGAATGGTAGTGGGTCCAATGGTCAAGAAGGCGGTTTTTGCACTTGCTGTAGTAGAGGGAAGTGAGGGGCAGGTGGGGCTCGTACACCTGGGAAGGAAGCCCTTCTAGGAGAAGGAAAGCTCTGGTCCTAAACCTCCGCTGTCTTGTGGGATAGCTTCGGGAGACGAAAAGGCTAAGGCAGAGATTTCCAAACTTTTCACGTTGGTGACACACTTTTTAGACATGCATCATTTTGCGACACAGTGGGGAGCGTCTGTGTGACACACCTAGGCACTGCCGCTGACGCACTAATGTGTCTTGAGACACAGTTTGGAATGCTCTGAGCTAAGAAGTACAGAGGTGCCTTGGTTCTCGAACGGCTTAGTTGTCGAACAAATTGGCTCCCGAATGGCGCAAACCCTGAAATAAGTGTTCCGGTTTATGAATGTTTTTCGGAAGCCAAACATCTGACGTGGCTTCCACTTAGCAAGCTCCTGCAGCCAATCAGAAGGCATGCCTTGGTTTTCGAACGGTTTTGGGAGTTGAACAGACTCCCAGAACATATTAAGTTCGAGAACCAAGGTACCACTGTGAACCCTACACAAATCCAGAGTGAGGTCCCTAAGACAGTTGGATGGCGCCTTGTACTCCTCCTTCTGGCAACTGCTGCAACTAAGTTGGTACAGCTTGCTCTGCTTTCCTTTGTACCACAGCAGTGAGGCCGAGGGGGGGTCTTGTCACCTGGGCAGCCCAGGACCTCCAGTCACACTCCATACATTGCAGGGGGTTGGACTATTACTATTATTTATTAACTTTGTATACCGCCCTTCATCTGAAGGGCAAGCCAGTGTGGCATAATGGTTATCGTGTGTTGGACTAGGACATGGGAGACCAGGGTTCAAATCCCCACATGAAGCACACTGGGTGACGTTGGGGTGGTTGCCTTCTCTTAGCCTAATCCGCCTCGCAGGGGTGTTGTGAAGATGAAATGGGGGAGGAGGAGAACCACGTACGCCACCTTGAGCTCCTTGGAAGAAAAAGATGGTATACAGATGTAATAAATGAATAATAAATAAAAAAATAAAATGAGAATACAAAATACACAATGGCGCGAAAACATAGCAATAATCCACCTCCCATAAACACATTTTAAAAGCCATAGAATTAATCAGCTGAATAATAATAATAATAATAATAATAATTTATTATTTATACCCCGCTATCTGGCTGGGTTTCCCCAGCCACTCTGGGCGGCTTCCAACAGATTATTAAACGACAATAATCTATTAAACATTAAAAGCTTCCCTAAACAGGACTGCCTTCAGATGTCTTCTAAAAGTCTGGTAGTTGTTTTCCTCTTTGACATCTGGTGGGAGGGCGTTCCACAGGGCGGGCGCCACTACCGAGAAGGCCCTCTGCCTGGTTCCCTGTAACTTCACTTCTTGCAATGAGGGAACCACCAGAAGGCCCTTGGCGCTGGACCTCAGTGTCCAGGCAGAACGATGGGAGTGGAGACGCTCCTTCAGGTCTACTGGGCTGAGGCCGTTTAGGGCTTTAAAGGTCAGCACCAACACTTTGAATTGTGCTCGGAAACGTACTGGCTTGGAATGCCTGGCAGAAGAGAAGCATTTGTGCTTGGCACCTTAATATATGTAATGAAGGTGCCTGGAGAGCCTTCTTGGGGAGAGCGTTCCACAAACAGGGAGCCACCGCAGAAAAGGCCCGCTCTCATGTTTCCACCCTCCGGAGACTAGGTGAACCTCGTGGTCTCTTCCAGCTCTACAATTCTGTGATTCTGTAAAAAAGAGGGGAGTTGGCTTCTTGAACATTTGGAGCTGTCCTTATGTTGGGGAGAGGGGGGCTTTTTCGTTCAGGGTAGCTGAGTGCTGCATACTTTCATAGAATCATAGAGTTGGAAGAGACCACAAGGGCCATCGAGTCCAACCCCCTGCCAAGCAGGAAACACCATCAGAGCACTCCTGACATATGGTTGTCAAGCCTCTGCTTAAAGACCTCCAAAGAAGGAGACTCCACCACACTCCTTGGCAGCAAATTCCACTGTCAAACAGCTCTTACTGTCAGGAAGTTCTTCCTAATGTTTAGGTGGAATCTTCTTTCTTGTAGTTTGGATCCATTGCTCCGTGTCCGCTTCTCTGGAGCAGCAGAAAACAACCTTTCTCCCTCCTCTATGTGACATCCTTTTATATATTTGAACATGGCTATCATATCACCCCTTAACCTCCTCTTCTCCAGGCTAAACATGCCCAGCTCCCTTAGCCATTCCTCATAAGGCACTTTAACTGGCAGTGCGTCTCCAGAGTCCCTGGCTTTTGTTATTCGGCTACCCGGGACCCCTTTTCTTCTGGAGCTACACAAAGGTGATGAGCCTGCAAGCCTTACGCATGTAAGGTGTCCTGTGTCCTGCCGCTTGGCTGTGTCAAACCGCGATCAAATAGGGAATGGCAGCTCCAGACCTTGGGAGCAATAGAAATTAGGAATGGAAGAGAGAGAGAAAGAGAGAACTTCTTAGTAACGGAGGAAGGAGGGGAGAACTTTGAAAGTAAGGGCTGCTATGGCAGCATGCCGGCGTCAGCTCCTAAAGAGAGGAATGGTGTAACGGGCAGAAATGCAGAGTTCTTGCAAAAGCCACTTCCATGCTTCTGGAGGTGGGATGGATGGAAGGAAGGAAATGGGGATTGTGTCCTGGCCCAGTTCCCATGAAATTGTTCTCCTTGGCCATAGCACCCCGGGTATAGGGCAGTGGGTGATGCGGGTGGCGCTGTGGGTTAAACGACAGAGCCTAGGACTTGCCGATCAGAAGGTCGGTGGTTCAAATCCCCGCGACGGGGTGAGCTCCCATTGCTCGGTCCCTGCTCCTGCCCACCTAGCAGTTCAAAAGCACGTCAAAGTGCAAGTAGATAAATAGGTACCGCTCTGGCAGGAAGGTAAACGGCGTTTCCGTGCGCTGCTCTGGTTCGCCAGAAGCGGCTTAGTCATGCTGGCTGTACGCCGGCTCCCTCGGCCAATAAAGCAAGATGAGCACCACAACCCCAGAGTTGGCCATGACTGGACCTAATGGCTAGGGGTCCCTTTACCTTTATAGGGCAGTAGATAAATTTAAGTAATAATAATAATGATATTCCCAATCCGGCATTGCCGTGCTCCTTCTAGAACACTGCGAACCGGAGCTTCTCCCTTCTCCAGGTAAGCGGAAGGAGGTCCCCCAGGTATGATGCTCAAGAGATCTGGAACAAGCACAATCTTCATTTGCACTGTCCTGGGATTATCATTTGCCTTAAAACGATTCCAAATGTTGTTTTTTGAACTGTTGTGACCCGCCCTGGGACCTTAGGGCAGAGGGCAGGCAAAATAAAAAAACAACAAAGGCCGGGACATCAGGATGGGTTGGTTTGACACCGAAATTATGATGCACATTACGATTTAGCAAATGCATCCCACTGGTGTTGAGGGTTGAGGCTGCAGCGATGATGAGTCACAGCAGAGGTTGAAAAGTGTTGCAATTAGGGAGATCCACAATCACTAGTTGGGATGGTGGCGGCATTTGTGGTCGGCCCATTATATTGAGAGAGAAAAGGGGAGTTATCTCTTCAAAACCAATGAATAATATTTCGTCAAACGGAATGGCAGGTGGAAGCTGAGAAAGATCTAGAATGCTCTCTTGGATTTCTCCCTTGGTTTCTGATAGAAAGGTTTGGGTATGAGGCAGGGCTTTAAACGAGGGCTCGGATTTGTGTTTGCACAATAAACTGTGGTTTCTTGTTGTTGTTTAGTCGTGTCCGACTCTTCGTGACCCCATGGACCAGAGCACGCCAGGCACTCCTGTCTTCTACTGCCTCCCGCAGTTTGGTCAAACTCATGCTGGTAGCTTCGAGAACACTGTCCCACCATCTCGTTCTCTGTCATCCCCTTCTCCTTGTACCCTCCATCTTTCCCAACATCAGGGTCTTTTCCAGGGAGTCTTCTCTTCTCATGAGGTGGCCAAAGTCTAGGAGCCTCAGCTTCAGGATCTGTCCTTCCAGTGAGCACTCAGGGCTGATTTCCTTAAGAATGGAGAGGTTTGATCTTCTTGCAGTCCATGGGACTCTCAAGAGTCTCCTCCAGCACCATAATTCAAAAGCATCCATTCTTCGGCGATCGGCGAGTAGCCCACTGGTGGTATATGCTGCTCAGTTGCTCCGGCTTAGCTCTTCTCCTAGAGAGAGCAAGATGAACAAATGGGACCAGCAGCAAACCATGGTTTATGTTTAGGAGCAGCCAGCCACTACCAAGTATTTAACCATAACTGGAAGCCAAGGTTAGTTGTGGATTCTGAGTTTGTTCTTTCTGCTTGCATTAGAGGAGAAGGAATGCAAGAGTGCTTGGGCAGTGTCAGTTCTCTGCTTTTTCACAGTAAACCATGACAAGCCAGAAACCACCACTTTTCGTAATGCATGAGTGCAGCCTTTATTTTGCAACGTTTTTGAGAGTTGGCTACCCTAGAAAAACTAAAGCTGGCAAACCTGTTGCAGTATTTCCAAGCTGCAGAGCAGCTTTGAGCAGTTTGGTCGGCTGTCTGTACCTGCACTCGAGAGAAGTTTTAATTGTTGGGCACCGACAATCCCTCTGGGAGTGTTCTGGTCTCTTGAAGGCCAAGCAAATTGCCTAGATCCGTGGTACAAAATGAATAAATCTCATACCTGTCGACGCTTCAGGGAATATATTTTCAAACACACACAGGACGTACTGTTCTGTGCTGATGGAGAGCTGTAAATATCCAGTTTTACATGAGCAGTCATCACTTCCTAAAGTGAAGCCTCTTGCTTGTAGGCGTCACTCCAAAATCACAGCGCGTAGGATACATTAAGCAGCTCATACGGATGGCGTTTGGTTGGCAGTGGGGCTGTAAGGCCTTGACCTTTCTCTTCTCCTCCCTCCTCCCTTGTAGCACTTGCAATAATGTACAGGAATGATAATTTGGGGAAGGGCCATAGCTCAGTCATAGAATCGTAGAATTGTAAGGGACCCTGAGAGTCATCTCGGCCAACCCCCTGCAATGCAGGAATCTCAACACACAGTTGGTCTCCCATCCAATTTGAAAGCATACCGGACCCTGCTTAGCTTTGCAAACGTGCCAGCAGACTATCCTGAGCTTAGATATTCCAATTGTCAGACTCAGGCCTCATCTGTGTTGCACATTTAAAGCTGTATCATACCACTTTAAGTAGTACTGGCTTCCCCCAGAGAATCCTGGGAGGTGTAGTTTGTTACGGGTGCGGAGAGTTGTTAGCAAACCCATTTTCCCTTTGCAGAGCCACACTTCCCAGAGTTCCCAGGGAAGAGGGATTGATTGTCAAACGAAGGTCAACGGTTCGAATCCCCGCAATGGGGTGAGCTCCCGTTGCTCGGTCCCTGTTCCTGCCAACCTAGCAGTTCGAAAGCACGTCAAAGTGCAAGTAGATAAATAGGTACCTCTCTGGCGGGAAGGTAAACGCCATTTCCGTGCGCTGCTCTGGTTTTTCCAGAAGCGGCTTAGTCATGCTGGCCACATGACCCGGAAGCTGTACGCAAGCTCCCTCGGCCAGTAAAGCGAGATGAGCGCCGCAACCCCAGAGTTGGTCACGACTGGACCTAATGGTCAGGGGTCCCTTTACCTTACCTAACATCGCTCAGCACCCTGAAAAAAACTACAGTTCCCAGGATTTGGGGGGGCGCCTCTCCTGGTATGCCCCGCGGAGGACCTTAAGGTCCACAAATGACAACATTTTGGAGGTCCCAAGTCGCAAGGTGGTTAGATTGGTCTCAACTAGGGCCAGGGCCTTTTCAGTACTTTCCCCGACTTGGTGGAACGCTCTGTCCCAAGAGACCAGGGCCCTGTGGGACTTGACATCTTTCCGCAGGGCCTGCAAGACAGAACTGTTCCACCTGGCCTTTGGTTTGGACTCAGTCTGACCCTTATGTTTCCCTCCCCTTATGGTTTTGATCTGTGGGCTACTATTAAAATGAGGCTGCTTTTTAAATTGTATTTTAACCTGTATTTTAAATTGGTTTTTTTTCTTCCCCCTATTATGTTTTTATTGTTATTTTACTAGTGTTAGCCGCCCTGAGCCCAGCTCCGGCCGGGGAGGGCGGGGTATAAATAAAATTTATTGTTATTATTATTATGACTGTTAAAAGTGTGTGTGTGTGTGCTTTCAATGTATATTGCAGATGCAACCTCAGCGAAAGGCAGTTTCCTGTCTTCCTAAGTGAATGGTTATTCATCTTTTGCAAAACATGTCTTCTTTCTGAAGGTTCTGTTCTGCTTTTATCTGTGCCCTTTCCTTCAGCGCAAACCTGCCTGGAATATGATTCTTGTTACAGATTGTCACGTACCTATAAGGAAGGGATGCATTTGTCCACACAAACACACACAAATCTACCTGTAGGGGAGTCTGGCAAATCTTTGCTTCATTTCTGCCCCTCACTCCTGACAAGATTGGGCATGCCACATTTCCTCTGTTTTTTTTGGTGCTTTTGTTTGTGGCGATCATATTTGTGGATTGGTCGTTGTCAATAATTAAAAAATGCATTGCCTTGGACTTTCTGGGCGGCCAGATTTACCGGATATGTGGGCCTTTAAGATGCCATTAGAGCCTATCTCCTGTTCTGAAGCCATCTATGGCTTTGCAAGGCGTAGAAATGACAGAAATAAACTCCTAGAGCCCAGGCAAACTGCTTGATGTACGATCTTATGCAAGGTTCCCAACTGACACTTCGTTTGAGGACAGTTTGCATAATTAACTGTTGGGTAACATGCCTGACCCCCATCGCATGCCAGTAAACACATTATCCGACTTGTGTTTTGATTTTGTGTCTCTCACCGCCCCAAAAAACCCAGCACAAGATCCTTGCATATTTTTGCATATTGCAGAACATTTCATTCTTCATTCTTGTCACTTGCAAAAATGATGCGTGAGGCTGTTCCTTACATCCATATGCCTGGAGGGCAAGGGATCTGCAGCTTCAGATGTTTCTGTGCCACAGGGACAGGTCTATACTTGCCTGGTTTCTTTTCCTGGTTTCCGTTCAAAATTGCAAAACAAAAGTTGCAAATGCTTGAAATCTCCCTGTTGGGCTGTCCAATAAGTCCAATAAGTTTGAGCGGAGTTAGCGCTGGCTATAATATACGGCAAATGGCAATTTTCAAAACAAGCGTCCTTGTCATCCCAGGAACACCTTTTTTCTTTAAGAGGGCAATTTCTTTGTCAGGGCTTTGGTTGCAGAGGGGGAAGCAACAACAGCCCGAGTTGTTGTTTTGCTATTGTCTGAAATAACACATCATTCCAGAGAAGTTTTCCGCCCTTTAATTAGATGGATCACAAAGGCGTGGCCCAAACATAATTTGGCTGCTTATTACACAAGCAAGGGGGGATGAATGTCTGGTTAGCTAACTTGACCTTTTTCAGAGCTTCAGTTTTCCATCTGTGAAATGGGAACAATCGGCTCCCAAATACAAGTTGCAAGAGAGTGGTGGCCTTCTGTTAGCTGGAGATTCTTGCATACAGTGCAAGAACAGCTGTGAGTCCTGCATTTTTTTGGGGGGGGGGTGGCGGTCTTGACTGGATAACCCTTTGAGTCTCTTCCATCTCTACAATTCTGTGATTCCACAAATGCCTCGACTGACAATATGAGGAAGTGCCTTAGTTTCAGATCCTGATCACTTTCATTTCTGCAGAAGAAACTGGTGTATCTCTATCTTAGCCTTTTCTGACTTCGTACCAGCATTAGAAACTCAGATATATAAGCTAAATGCCAACTGGCAGCTTAAACGTTGTTGTTGTTGTTTAATCATTTAGTTGTGTCCGACTCTTCGTGACCCCATAGACCAGAGCACTCCAGGCACTCCTGTCTTCCACTGCCTCCCACAGTTTGGTCAAACTCATGCTGGTAGCTTCGAGAACACTGTCCAACCATCTCGTCCTCCATCGTCCCCTTCTCCTTGTGCCCTCCATCTTTCCCAGCATCAGGGTCTTTTCCAGGGAGTCTTCTCTTCTCATGAGGTGGCCAAAGTCTTGGAGCCTCAGCTTCAGGATCTGTCCTTCCAGTGAGTAGTCAGGGCTGATCTCCTTCAGAATGGATAGGTTTGATCTTCTTGCAGTCCATGGGACTCTCAAGAGTCTCCTTCAGCACCAACCTTAAACCTAGGTTGCCACAATGGAATGTTTAGGCGCCATTTCCCCGGCAATTGAATTTATTATTTTTATTATTACTCATTTCATTTCTATACCTCTTTCTATTTTAAAGGAAAAAAATCTCAATGCGGTTTGCAAGACATTCAAACGTCAAATAAAACAATCCAGAATGAAACAAATTCACAAGGAAAAGATTTCAGGACCTTCTCCAACTGACATTTTGCTTTCCCCATATTTTATCTACCTACTTAATTTATATAGCTGCCCCATAGCAGAAGTACTCTAGGAAGCCAGTGTGGTTTAGTGGTTAGAGAGTCGGGCTAGGACCTGGGAGATCAGGGTTCAAATCCTCAGTCATAAAGCTCACTGGGTGACCTTGGACCAGTCACAGCCTCCTAATCTACATCACAGGGTCATTGTAGGGATTAACTACAACGTGAACCATATACTCCGTGGAGAAAAAGGTGGGATGTACATTCAATAGGTAAGCTCTTTTGCTGACCTGCTTAAGAAAGCCAGAGGGGCCAGCCAGATGGAGATGTCATTCAGTATTCTGGCACCCAGAGGTCTCCATATGGTCTCAGTTGGACCTGCATTTTGCAAAACACGCCTAGCTTGGTGGCTCCTTGCAGATTTTCATTTGTTTGTTTTGAAATCATTTTTATTTGATTTTCCAATACAAAATTATAAAAAATTCAAATACATATCCATATACAGAGATTCCTCCGAACCCTTTTTAGATTAATTTTTATTAATTCTCAATTATATAATATTTAAACACATCATCATTATCCATTTTACTTCTTTAGCTCTTAAGAGCCTGTCGACTCCCCTCCTTTCCACCTCATGGTTTTCAAAGTTAACCTTTATCTCATAGCATTTATACGTTTTCCAGTTTACGTTTCACTCCTTCAAAATGTCACAATTTTTAAATAAATATAAAAAGGGAAGAACAGTTGTCATTACAAGTCTTTTTATGACCCTGCTAGTGTTGTTAATTGCTTGCAATAGTCCTTCAGATATTGTATAAATTTACTCCAATCTTTTTGGAATGCTTGGTCACGCTGGTTTCGGATTTTCCCCGTCAGCTTCGCCAATTCTGCAAAGTCCATCATCTTCGTCTGCCACTTTTCTTTCGTTGGGACTTCTTGTTGCTTCCATTTTTGGGCTAAAATAATTCTTGCTGCAGTTGTTGCATACATAAACAGTTTTCTTTATCTCCTTTTGGTATCTCTTCCCCCACTATACCCATTAAAATGCTTCTGGTTTTTTAACAAAAGTATTTTATAGGTTTTCTTTAACTCAGATTCCTCCAAATCTCAGGACTTCCCCTGGAGTCCCATTTTAAACATTTAAAACCGCATCTTCTTCCAGACTCTTAACTATTATATTATAGCCCATCAGCTTGGTTTGCCATTCCTCTCTGGTAGGAAGCACCTTGCAGATATATATATATTTTAAAAAATAATTTTATTGAAAATTTAAACAAAACATATTATCCAAAAACATATCATCCTTAATCCCCCCCCCATTTTTCCTCCCTCCCCCCCACAACACCCCACCCCCCGACTTCCCTCAGTTCCAGTCTTTGGTTTCTCTGTAAATTCTGTTCTCTGCATGTTACAAAGTTGTATAGATCCTTAAATTATATGACTTATTATTATCAATAAAAAGTTTGTGAATGTTTATTCAAAACCTGCCAAGGAGTCCAATTCACTTTGTTGCGTCTTCAAATGTTTTGTAAAGGGTTCCCACTCATCTTTAAAATCACAGTTATCCTTGTCCCGTAGCTTATGTGTCAGTTTTGCCAGTTCTGCATAGTCCATCAGTTTTTCTTGCCATGCCTCTTTAGTTGGAGTTTCTTCAGTCTTCCATCCTTGTGCTATTAGGACTCTCGCGGCCGTTGTCGCATACATGAAGATGTTTTTCAGCTTTTTTGGCAGGTCTTTCCCTACAATCCCTAACAAAAATGCTTCAGGTTTTAAAACAAATGTTAGATGGAACATTTTCTTCAATTCATTATATATCATTTCCCAATTTTTTAAAATTACATTACAGTCCCACCACATATGATAAAACGTCCCCTCCTTTTCCCCTACACTTCCAACATATATTTGAACTAGTTTTATACATTTTCCCTAACTGCACTGGTGTCGCATACCATCTGTACATCATCTTCATGTAGTTCTCCTTCAACAGGGAACAGTCTGTGAATTTTAAATCCGTTTCCCATAATTTTCCCCAATCTCCCATCATAATGTTGTGACACCTTGCAGATATTTTGCGCTCCAAGCCAGCGTGGCTGTTGTGCCTGAGGCTGCTGGAAACTGTAGCCCAAAACATTTCGGCAGGAGGGAAAGGCAATGTTCTTTGTCAAGGTGGGCAGTGCGCGACATGTTGTGGCATTCCCTCGTCGGCTGTTCCTGCTGCGCTTGGAACAGGAAGGTCTGGATTTCTGCCTGCGGCTAAGTGTCGTCCAGGATGGAACCATTTTCTTTTCTTTGGGAGGGACTGGGAGCATCTGAGAAGTGGTATGTGCCAATTGCCTCAAGGGTTCGTCGCGGGCACCACGTAAACAGACAGACGCTCCCCGTGAGCATTGCAGGGAGACTGAGTTGTCAGAACAAGGATGCTCAGAAGCTGTGAGGCACTTTCTGTTTCATAACTGGGATATTGCAAAGTAAGGAATGTTGTCTAACTGGGCACGGGCTGCCCCAAAGTGGACCGCGAGGCCCACGAGCGAATTGTGGGGGCCCTGTGTGCGAGTTGTCGAGCCGGATGTTGCCAGTCTGGGTGTCTTCAGCTCCTCACCTGTTGAGGGTGCTTTGAGAAGACATCTGAAGGCAGCCCTGTTTAGGGAAGCTTTTAATGTTTGATGCATTACAGTCATACCTTGGGTTGAATATGCTTCAGGTTGAGCATTTTCAAGTTACGCTCCGCGGCAACCCGGAAGTAACGGAGCGCGTTAATTCCGGGTTTCGCCGCTGGCGCATGCGCAGATGCTCAAAATGACGTCACGCGCATGCGAGGAAGTGGCAAAACGCGACCCGCGCATGCGCAGACACGCAGTCGCGTCTTATGTTCTATTCAGGATGCGAACAGGGCTCCAAAACGGATACCTTTCACATTTCGAGGTACCACTGTATTGTATTTTAATATTTTGTTGGAAGCCGCCCAGTGTGGCTGGGGAAACCCAGCCAGATGGGCGGGGTATAAATAATAAATTATTATTATTATTATTATTGAGAAGACACATTGCAAGTGCAAGAGGAAAGGGGTTTTCTCTTCCAGATCATGGGTTTGAACCGCAAAACGACATGCTTATATCAGTTGCTGCCCTGTTTAAAAATGGTCAGAAGCGTCTTCTTAAACTTATGCCCCCCCCCCCGATGTTTCTGGGCTGGCAGCTTCCAGCATCCCTGAAACTTTGGCCGATGGGACTTGGCGTCTAACAACATCTGGAGAGCCATGTGTTTTCTACCCCAGCTCTAGAACATCTGCAGGGCATTACAGTGGTACCTCAGGTTAAGTACTTAATTTGTTCCAGAGGTCCGTTCTTAACCTGAAACTGTTCTTAACCTGAAGCACCACTTTAGCTAATGGGGCCTCCTGCTGCTGCTGCGCCGCCGGAGCACGATTTCTGTTCTCCTCCTGAAGCAAAGTTCTTAACCTGAGGTAATATTTCTGGGTTAGCGGAGTCTGTAACCTGAAGCGTATGTAACCTGAAGCGTATGTAACCTGAGGTACCACTGTATTGCTTCAGACGACTTTCAGTGGGCAGGATATTTGGTGTGAAAAGGGGGCGGGGCGCAGGGTATGTGGGTTTAAAACATACATTACTGTAGTAGGGTTTTATGTGGGATGCTTTTGGAAAATTAGAGTGCAAAGCTTTTAATAAATGGATGCAAGGAGCCTACAAAATCAAGGTGTCATAATTTAAGTGGAAGCTCCAGAACTGGTAGGGCACAAGGCTTTTGCTTTTAGAAGCTGATGTGTCTATAAAGGGGGAGATTGAAATTTAAAGGTGGTTTCAGCCGAGTAGCTTATTTATGAGCCTTTTCCTCTCCTGAAGACATCCCGCAAGGCTCACGTGTTACTCAAAGTTGGCCCATTGAAATTAATGCGCCTAGCCTAATTATGGTCATTGATTATGGTCTACTCTGAGTAAAAGCTAGTTGACTGCCACCCATGGTTCTGAAGTACCATGGTTGGTCCTGCAGAAATTCCAGCTCACATACAGAAAGTGGGGAAGTTATCCAAAGACCTAAGAGAATAAGTTTTAAAGATTGAAATCGTATTGTATTTGCTTATTTCCTATAATACTGACATTTGATATTCCTATAATATTTCAATATGAAACTTTGAAATCCTGCATCACAGTTTGCAGCAAACCATGGTTTCCTGTTGTGTCCAAACCCAGTCAGCCAAAGCTTGCCTCCAAACCGTGGACAGCATCTAGCTAAACAGTTCTGCTAGTGTGAGGACTTAGAGCTGTGGAATTTCCCTATCCTATCCTCCGCCTTCATGCCCCCTAAATTTGTTTTGGGTTTCCCCCCAAACCCTTTGGAGGGGATTTAGAGGAGGGAGACATAGGGAAAGTAGAGGGCAGAAATGTTCCATTGCCTGTCTGGAAGTCCTTGCGCTCGTAGAATCAGCTTTGTTTTCAATCCCGGATTGCCAGATTCGGGATGGAATGGCAAACTGGTTTGTCACATACTAAGGTTATGCCAAATCCCTGTGTCTAATTGAAGGAAGGCATGCAGAACCTCAGCTTGTGTCTGCTTGCTCTCCCCCAAGTTATGTCTTAACAGCCTTTTCGTGTGTTGAGATGACACGGCGTCATGGTGTTCCTACACAACCGGATTTCTTGTCTAAAGCACTCTGTCTGCGACAAAAATGTGTAGCTTTGGGGACAAAACAATTTCTTCTTTTTCAAGTCCGTGCCTTGGTGCATTTTCCCGTTGCGTCCCCAGTGTGATCTGCCTAAGCCAGTCCCTTCACACTTTCTGCAGAAGAATTTCCCAAATCACCATTAGGCTTAAGGTCATCCTAAGCTAGGGATCCATGATCACTGCAGATGGTGACAGCAGTCACGAAATTAAAAGACGCCTGCTTCTTGGGAGAAAAGCAGTGACAAGCCTAGACAGCATCTTAAAAAGCAGAGACATCACCTTGCCAACAAAGCTGTGGTTTTCCCAGTAGTGATGTATGGAAGTGAGAGCTGGACCATAAAGAAGGCTGATCGCCGAAGAATGGATGCTTTTGAATTATGGTGCTGGAGGAGACTCTTGAGAGTCCCATGGACTGCAAGAAGAGCAAACCACTCCATTCTTAAGGAAATTAGCCCTGAGTGCTCACTGTAAGGACAGATCCTGAAGCTGAAGCTCCAGTACTTTGGCCACCTCATGAGAAGAGAAGACTCCCTGGAAAAGACCCTGATGTTGGGAAAGATGGAGGGCGCAAGGAGAAGGGGACGTCAGAGGACGAGATGGTTGGACAGTGTTCTCAAAGCTACTAACATGAGTTTGACCAAACTGCAGGAGGCAGTGGAAGACAGGAGTGCCTGGCGTGCTCTGGTCCATGGGGTCACGAAGAGTCGGACACGACTAAACAACAACAACAAAGCTAGGGATGGGGAACCTGCCACTCTCCAGATGTTGCTGTACTCCATCTCCTACCAGCCCCTGCCTGGCATAGCCAGTGGTCAGGGATGATGGGAATTGGGGTCCGACAGTATCCCGAGCACAATAGGGGACTGGGTTTAGGTAGTGGATCTGGCCTTACCTCCCCAACTCTCTGCAGGTTGGGTTTGACAGATGGGCCCGCTGTCAACGATGTCGTGAGCTCACGCCCTGTGCTTTGCAAGCCCTAACAATCAGCTAATAAGGTGCCTGCAAAGCTCCTGCTTTCTTTACCTGCTCCACACCTGATGTCGCATATAAAACGTAGTATGGCTGGTGGACTTGGCTTGACCAGATTTTTTGGGGGGTGGGGCAAGAGAGGCCTAATTTGGCCCTCAGACCAGAGGTTCCCCACCACCCATCTAAAGGCCATCCAACACGTCCTCAGCGCTGCACAACAAAGAAGAAATTAAGTCCCTGCCGAAATGGGGTATCTTCCTTGAGCTGTCACTCAGGCTGTGTCGCAGGAGGCTGCCGACAGTAAATAACACTGATCACAGTTGCAGTTTTCATTAGCAAAAACACAATCTTCTCAGACTTGGCTGAGTGAGCACAGTAAGTTATCTCGGGTAGGTCTTGCTTCCATGAAGCAGTTTCTGAGAATGAAGATGTTGGAAAACACCCTGGGGTACACGCAGCTCTGGAAAAGGCATCTCCCTTCTCTTCCAGTGCGTTCAGCGACATATACCAGATGGTATATGCACACTAACATGCCTGGCATAACACAGCAAGAAGCGTGAGGCACCGCAGAGCTAATCTACTATTTATTTGCACACTATGTACAGACAAAAGCATAGTGGCGTCCGTTCTCTCCAGCTCCGAGAGAACAACATGCAAAGTAAAAGTGAAACATTACAAAGTACATACTGTACAGTGGAAGAGATAAGACTGTCTTCCGTTTCCCACACTTTTCTCAGACAGGCATGTGATTTACACCAATCACAAATCAGCATCGGAGAAGTGAAATTACTAACAGAAGATCCCTGCATCCTCCACAGCTGTCTTAAGTCCCCTCTTCTCCAGGGCTTTCCCCAAGCAATCTGAGACTATGCCTGCGTGAAGGTAACTACTCCACCCTCTTCACGCCTCTTCTGGTTCTGGGAAACCAGGAGGGAGGGGAAGAAGAAGAAGAGGAGGAGGAGTAGGAGTTTGGATTTGTATCCCGCTTTATCACCACCCAAAGGAGTCTCAAAGCGGCTAACCATCTCCTTTCCCTTCCTCCCCCACAACAAACACTCTCTGAGGTGAGTGGGGCTGAGAGACTTCAGAGAAGTGTGACTGGCCCAAGGTCACCCAGCAGCTGCATGTGGAGGAGTGGAGACGTGAACCCGGTTCACCAGATTACGAGTCCACTGCTCTTAACCACTACACCACAAGGGGAGCTTGTTGCAGCAGGAAGGAGAGACATCTGTGACTCTGCACCAGCCAGACTCATCTCTGCCTCTTGGCCTGTCTCGTCCCTTCTTCCTGCTTCAGCTTCTGCCTCCGATTCTGGTCTTCTTTCTGCCACAGACTCTCCCAGCTCACGAAGATCTGTTGGCTTCCGACACCTCCTCTTCCCAGTCATCTCCTTTTGACCACTTCTCATCCCACCACCAATCCCCGGGCTCCAAGCTGGTTCCTCCCACCATTCCTCTGCATCCAGCCAGTCCATGAAGTGCTGTGATTGGGAGCTCTGACCATTGAAGGCTTTGAACAGCAGCTGAAGCCAGAATCTGTGCAAAGCAGCAGAGAGACATTTTTAAGTTGTGTCATTGCTGTGCCATGCTGCTCTGGCGGAGAGCGTGGGTTGTGTATGTGTGTGTGTAGAGTCTTCCGCATGCAGGAGTGTTTTAGCTCTTACATCCAGAATCCTTTCAATATTAGATGGAGGGAAGAAGGTGGAAGTAAGCAGCCCCCCACCAACACCCCAACATTTCAGAAGCCATTCTCTGGAAATGCTGGAGATCTTACTCCCATTGCACACAGCAGTGTGAGCGCACTGTCAGCAAACGCATTGTCCAAGTTGTTCCTGGAAGTGTTGCTGCTGCTGCTACTTGAATATTGAAACCTTCCTTATCGATTCCTGGCACGGGAAGATGGGGTTTGGCCTTTTCCTGCTCGGCTTTTGCTGTTTTGCATATTCTCCTCGCTTTCCAACATGGCTTAGAGAAGCTGCTGGTGGCGAAGCACAGAGGAGCATCGTTCAGGCTGGCCGCTTGTTCCCGTTGCAACTCAGCGTTGCCATGGGAGGAAAACAGGGCAGTGCATGTCTTTGTGGCCCCCAGCTGCTTTCTGCAGAATGCATTTATTCACTTGGACTTCTGTCCAGCCCTGGCATGTATGTTCTAGAAGGTGCTTGCCAGCCAGGCTAGTTATCCTCTTGGCTTTGATTGCACCATCAAGTTTTCAGATCCTGGGCATGGCTGGCAAAATCACAGCTGTCTGCTAATTGGCCAGGAGCCTATTGGATCCATCCAGCATCCCTGGACTGTGGGATGGTTAGGAGCACTTTCCAGCAGGGAGGGGCAACCTGTTGGGCTCCAGCTGCCATCAGCTGCAGCTCCTGTGGCCAATAATAATAATAATCAATTTTTATTTATATCCCGCCTTTCCCAGTTCAAAAACTGGGCTCAGGGCGGCTAATAACAAATTTAAAACACTTAATTGTAAAAGCAGCATAAAATACAGGAGAAAAACATGAATACAGTGGTACCTCTGGTTACATACGCTTCAGGTTACATTCGCTTCAGGTTACACACTCCACTAACCCAGAAATAGTGCTTCAGGTTAAGAACTTTGCTTCAGGTTGAGAACAGAAATTGTGCAGCAATGGTGCGGCAGCAGCGGGAGGCCCCATTAGCTAAAGTGGTGCTTCAAGTTAAGAACAGTTTCAGGTTAAGTATGGACCTCCAGAACGAATTAAGTACTTAACCCGAGGTACCACTGTAACAATAAAATTCAAAGTTCAGAAATCAATTTAGGGGAAATCCATCTAATAAGCATTAAATAACCACCAGGGCTAGCTAGCTGAATTAGTCCTGCTTGGGCCAGCGAGGAGGCCAGGGGAGAATTAGCTGTGGGGTCTCAGAGCGGGTAATCTTCATAAAAGGGGAAGGGGAGGGAAGGGAAGGGAAATAAAAGATCAGGCTGAATTCAAATTGAAAGCCAGATGAAATAGCTCTGTCTTACAGGCCCGACAGAAGGGGGTTAAATCTTGCAGGGACCTTGTCTCATGGGACAGAGCATTCCACCAGGTCGGAGCCATCACTGAAAAGGCCCTGGCCCTGGTGGAGGATAGTCTGACTTCCTTAGGGTCCGGGACCTCTAAACTATGGTTATTCATGGACCTTAAGGTCCTCTGCGGGGCAGACCAGGAGAGGCGGTCCCGTAATACAAGAGGCAGGGGTGATGGCAGCTGGGAGTCTGGAGGGCCCTGGGTGTCCCATCCATACTTTTAAAGCTAATGACATGCTGGTTGGATGCAAAGGAATGGTGTGAGGAACCAGTTGGAGAAAAACCCCAAAGGGAGAAGGCTCAGAGCCCAGGGATTGGTGGTGGGGTGATGTTGGGGGTCAGAGGGAAAAAACTGGGGGGAGGAGGCGTCGGAAGATGAGGAGGTAACAGGGTTTGGTGAGCAGGGGGAGTTGGTGGCAGAGAGAAGTACAGAATCGGAAGCAGGAAAGAAGGGAGACCAAGAGGCAGAGATGACACAGGGGTGTCTCCTGCTCTTGCTATGACCAGCTCCTCTCCCCCCTGGTCTCCCGGAATCAGGACAGGCATGAACAGGGCAGAGGAGAGGTTGGATTCATGCAGGCGTAGTCTCCGATTGCTTGGGAAAAGCCCTGGGGAAGAGGGGGACCTAGGCAGCTGTGAGAAGAAGAGTTTGGATTTGATATCCTGCCTTTCACTCCCTTTAAGGAGTCTCAAAGCGGCTAACATTCTCCTTTCCCTTCCTCCCCCACAACAAACACACTGTGAGGTGAGTGGGGCTGAGAGACTTCAGAGAAGTGTGACTGGCCCAAGGTCACCCAGCAGCTGCATGTGGAGGAGCGGAGACGCGAACCCGGTTCCCCAGATTTCGAGACTACCGCTCTTAACCACTACACCACACAGGGGACCTTCCATCTCAGCAACTGCTTCATGGGGGCAAGACCAGCTGGAGATGAGTTGCTGTGCTCATTAGGCCTGACACCCCTGTGCTGATCCTGTTTTTGCTAATGAAGAGTTTGCACAGTGTGATTTACTGCCGGCTTGTTCCTGCCAGCTTAGAAAGGACATCTTGTCTCTGCCTTTGCAAACCTGGTTTCCGCCAGATGTTGTGGAGCACAACTCCCATCAGCCCCTGCCAGCACATGCTCAGCAGTTAGGTATGATGGGAATTGTAGTCCAAAGGAGCTGGAGGGCACCAGGATGGCGAAGTAACAGAAGGCCTTTACTCCTACAAACTCCTGCTGTCCAAAAGCCAATTGAAATGTGACTTTGCCGTTTGGACTCTTGATGACAAGCATTCAGGCCTTGCAGATGATGATGATGATGAAGATAATAATAATATAATTATTTATACCCCGCCCATCTGGCTGGGTTTCCCCAGCCACTCTGGGTGGCTTCCAACCGAGTATTAAAAACAATACAGCGTCAGGCATTAAAAACTTCCCTAAACAGGGCCGCCTTCAGTTGTCTTTTAAAAGTAAAATAGTTGTTTATTGCCTTGACATCTGCTGGGAGGGCATTCCACAGGGCAGGCGCCACCACCGAGAAGGCCCTCTGCCTGGTTCCCTGTAACCTCACTTCTTGCAGTGAGCTGGACCTCAGTGTTCGGGCTGAACGATGGAGGTGGAGACGCTCCTTCAGGTATACAGGACCGAGGCCGTTTAGGGCTTTCAAGGTCAGCACCAACACTTTGAATTGTGCTCGGAAACGTACTGGGAGCCAATGAAGATCTTTCAGGACCGGTGTTATATGTCTCGGCAGTGGATATGCATCTGAGTATAATTGGAAAGAGACTTAGAGGATCGGTCAGGATGAAAGCAAAGATGAAGAGCAAAGATAGCTGTATAGGGAGTGTATAGGGAGTGGATCACTGGAAGGACAGATCGTGAAGCTGAGGCTCCAGTACTTTGGCCACCTTATGAGAAGAGAAGACTCCCTGGAGAAGACCCTGATGTTGGGAAAGATGGAGGGCACAAGGAGAAGGGGGCGACAGAGGACAAGATGGTTGGATAGTGTTTTCGAGGTTACCAGCATGAGTTTGACCAAACTGTGGGAGGCAGTGGAGGACAGAGGTGCCTGGTGTTCTCTGGTCCATGGGCTCACGAAGAGTCGGACACGACTAAACGACTAAACAACAACAACATAATTGGAAAGAGACTTAGAGGATCGGTCAGGATGAAAGCAAAGATGAAGAGCAAAGATAGCTGTATAGGGAGCTACTCCTCTGAGTTCTCCAGAACTCTTCCTCACCCTAAGCAAATAAGATGTCTTGGTATTCATCTACGTTGCTACCAACCTGAAGATGGAGGGTGGAAAGATTGACCCCTGAGGGTCATCCAGTTCAACCCCCTGCAATGCATTTCAGGGGGTAAGACTATATGGCCCTCGGAAGCCCTTCGAACTCTATAATTCTTTGATTCTTCGATTCAAAGCAATTCCCATGTGGTCATCCACTGCAGGGGAAATTAGGGAATCCTCTCCTTCCAGATGAACCATAACCCCCAAATTCCCAGTTTCCTTCTGTCCCATTTCCAGCAAAATGTGCAGGCACCGTTCTTCTCTTTTGGTGTGTGAGTGAGAAACAAATCTGCTCCCCTCTTTACAGTGTTGCGTGTTGCTCCTGCCTCTGGAGGAATTCCTCCCGTAGCTTCCTAATAAGCACCACGTTTGCTTGGCTCGGAAATGCCTCCATTTCAGGTGCCTCCATCTCTCGAACTTGAGAACTCTGCTGGATCTGGGCAAGGAAGGTCCATCAGGACGGACTCCCAGCTCCCATCAGTCCCAGCCTTCAACATCAATAGTTGTGGGATGATGGGAGTGGTCACCTAGCAACTTCCAGGGGACTACAGATGCTCCCTCTCAGGTCTAGTCGAACACCCTGCTTCCCACAGCGCCCACCCAGATGTTCCCAGATGTTCCTTCAAGCAGGCCATGCGGACATCTGTCCTCCCTTGGTTGCCTATTCCCCAGCAAGTGACACCTACAGATACACTGCCACTGAATCTGGAGTCTCCATTTAGCTGATGATAATAGCTGATGATAAAACTTCCTAGTCTAGTTCAATGGGGTCTGAAAGTGAAAGGTTGAGGTCTAATGCTGTCAAATTTGGGCACCCCATATCTCCACGTTGTAGAGAAGCGGTTCCCAAAATTGGCCGCTACTGCCCTCTGGGGGGGATTACTGGGGGTGTGTTTGTGCTAAGAGGTGGCAGGGGGCCGCTGAAGTGTAAAGTGACTCTCAGACTTTGGAAAGCTGGTATCCCTGGACCAATTTTGTTGAATTAATTAAACTGGCTTTAATTGGGTTTTGAGCAAATGTGCAATTCATGTTTGGAATTTCATGGCGTTCTTACGGGGCACAGGGGATGGGCTTATGGTTGTCTCCACGGACGCTGATTTAAGTGCCGTTGCTTATCTTCTGCTTGTACCCAGAAGGATAAAAATATCAGCCTCTCTCACCCCAGTTTGTCTGCGCATACCTGTGCTGGGCTGAGTGATGGAGAGAGTCCGATGGTTTTTGCCTAAGGCTGGGGCATAATTAAGCTCCTAAGTTTGGATTTCTTGTAAATTTCTTGCGGAAGGAGCGATGGAATGCGGCGGGTTACTTTTTCAACCTGAAGTTCCAGTTTCGGAAGTGTTTGCGCGGTTATGCGTCCAGTTTGGGAAAACAGAAAAGCCCGTAAATAAACCAATCAGGGTTAGAGATGACTTGTTAATCCTCCAGCGCCTTACAGCCAGCCTTGGGAAAAGTGCTCAGAACCGCCTAGTAATTATAGTGTTGCCTTTACACCCCCCCTCAAGAAAACATTGAATAGCTATCCATCTATATGGGAAAGGAGTATAGAGTTTAAGTAAACACAGAATCCTCTGGTAGTCTAGCAAGGAATGCTACGCCATGGGGAAGTAAGCTGAAATTCCTCTCTGGTTTATGCTTCTAATGCAGATATGTGAGATACACACACATATATACATATATGACCTATTTAGTCTGGTATTGGGGGTTTCATGTCTCCTCCACCCCCATTCTGCTCTGCTCTACTTTTTCTGGAATAACATTAAAGCAAACACTGACTCCTTCCGATCAGTGATTTTCTTTGGGGCTTAATCCCCTATTATTCAGCTTTCAGGTCCCAAGACTCCACACTCCAGTATAGAGTTCCTTGAGCATGTGCAGAGTGCCTTGCCACTTCTGTAAACTAGGTGCAGTCGTACCTTGGTTTTGGAACATCTTAGTTCCTGAATGTTTTGGCTCCTGAACGCAGCAAACCCGGAAGTGACTGTTCCGTTTTGCAAACTGTTTTTGGAAGCTGAACGTCCGATGGGGCTTTCGCGGCTTCTGATTGGCTGCAGGAGCTTCCTGCAGCCAATCAGAAGCCGCGCTTTGGTTTTCAAACGTTTGGGAAGTCAAACGGACTTTTGGAACGGATTCTGTTCGACTTCCAAAGTACGACTGTGCAACCCTGCTGCGTAAATTGGCAATAAAGGGGAAAGGGGTTGTTGGGCGTAGGAACTAAAGGAGCTGCCTTTTAACCAAGCCGTAGAATTATTGAATTGGATGGGACCCTGAGAATCATCTAGTAGTCCAACCCCCTGCAATGCAGGAATATGCAGCTATCCTATACGGGGATCGAACCTGCAACCTTGCCATTCTCCGCACCATGCTCTATCCTGAGCTACCCTGTGAGTCACACTCTTGGTCCATCGAGCTCAGAATTATGAGCATCAGCTGGCAGCTGTTTGGGGTTTTAGACAGTAGCCTTTCATAGTCCTGTCTGGAGGTGCTGGGAGTTGTTTTTATTTTTAATTAAATTTGTATACCGCCCTTCATCCGTAGATCTCAGGGCTGTCTACAACATAAGTTTCCATTTGAACCTGGTACCATCTACAGACAAAGCAGATCCTCTGCTACTGAGACACATTATTATTATTATTATTATTATTATTATTACTATTATTGCTATTATTAAATAAAGCCGCAGAATTGTAGAGTTGAAAAAGACCACGGGGGTCATCTAGTCCAACCCCCTGCCATGCAGGAATCATTTGCCCAATGTGGGGCTTAAACCCACAACCCTGAGATTAATAATCTAATGATTTACCGATTTATTACAATTGCTGTTATATTTGTGGCCTCTCCTTCCTTGGAGGTTTTTTAAGCAGAGGCTGGAAGGCCATCTGTCATGTGTGATCTAGTTTAGGTTCCTGCATTGCAGGGGGTTGGACTAGATGGCCAGGGGGGGTCCCTTCCCTTTCAACTCTAATAATTCTACGACCCTATGATTCATTTATATTCTACAATCCCCCAGACCAGGAGTCCAAGCGCTTTACACAAATTAAAACAACGCAGGTAAAAGGCAGAAGGCTGAAAACGTATTTTAAATAGGACTTAAACTGTAAAAGGATTAAAGCAATAGAAAAACAGATCTACAGTGGTACCTCAGGTACTTAATTCGTTCCGGAGGTCCGTTCTTAACCTGAAACTGTTCTTAACCTGAAGCACCACTTTAGCTAATGGGGCCTCCTGCTGCTGCCGCGCCACCAAAGCACGATTTCTGTTCTCATCCTGAAGCAAAGTTCTTAACCTGAAGCACTATTTCTGGGTTAGCGGAGTCTGTAACCTGAAGCGTATGTAACCTGAAGCGTATGTAACCCGAGGTACCACTGTATTAAAAGGCTGATAGGAAAAGCAGTGCAGCACTATTTAAAATCCTGTTCTTTTTTTTTTTTTTTTTTTAAAGGCAGAACACCCCCCCCCCCCAAATCTGGCTGGAATAAAACAATCTCTACCTGCCAGCAAAAGGAGAGCAAGGATGGAGCCAATCTAGCCTCCCTAGAAAGGGAGTTCCAAAGTCTGGGAGCCACCACTGAGAAGGCCCCGTAAAAAAACTTGCCTTATACCAGGGCATCTCATTGTTCTGTCTAGCTCATTATTGACTGCAGAGACTGTCAGCCACACTCCTGGGTTTCAGGTAGGGACCACTCTCAGCCAGACCTGGAGAATCTGATAGCAGGACTGAACCTGAGACCTTTCCCACAAAAAACAGGTGCCCTCCCATCGCAGTTGCATCCGCACCGGACATTCAAAGCACTTTTATACCCCTTTAACAGTTGTGGGGGATCCTGGAGGCTGTAGTTTGTTGAGGATCCCGAGTACTGCATCTCTGTGAGAGGTCAGCACCCTAAGCAAACTACAGCTCCCAGGATCCTTTGCAAGGCGGGGAAAGAAAACCCGTGGCTGTTAAAGGGATGCAGGAGTGCTTTAAATGCAAGGAGTGGGCGTGACCTGAGATGTGTGGTTGTGTGAATCGAACCCCAGCTCTTTGCTCCTCTGCTGCTGAACCCCAGAGGCAGGCAGGGGCTGCCATTTTTTGCAACCTTCCCCTTCGCTTTACTGCCTCCCAGTGGCTCATAGCTTCCCCTCGGATCTGGGAGATGCTTCCAGGTGTGGAAGCATCTTCGGAGAGGCCGTTCCTTGCACACAAGGAGGTTTCTCGCTGTCCTCTTCTGCACCATCCCCTCTTCCCCAGATGGCGGGTTATAAACGTGGGCAAGCAGAACTGGCAGGGAGCTCCTGCTTTTTGCCCTGGAGCCGCAGCCTTGCCCACCCCCTCCTCTCTTCACCCCCTTCCTCCTGCTGCTGCCCTCCTCTGGGTACCATGCCTCTCTCAGTTTCAGCATCTTGCAAGGCTTTTTAAAGGAGAAAACAGCCGGCTTTGCCGGGTATCCAACCTAAAAGCAGCGGCTGAAATGTGCAGGGTCGCTTTAATTGTTCAACCCCCCCCCTTTCTTCCTATAGACTAGCAGAGGCAGGAAAAAAAATGTTGAGATCCAGCAAAGTGCAGAGGCAGACAGTGTCGTCTAGGGAAGGAGGGAGAGTCCAGGTTCCCGGACTAATCTGCTGTGCCACGGAATGCAAATTTGCAAGGAATTAGCTTTGCGAATCCTCCTGGCACCTTTTGGCTTGGGAAGCCGTTTTCTAAAGACCTCTGTGGACGAGGCATCATCATCTCTCTCTCTCTAAACTGGATTTGAGGCTTGCTTTTCTGCAATCTGACGGGTCCGTTCTCTTTTTCCCACCCATCCGCCGCTCTCCAATTGGAATCGAGTTGGGTGGGGGGGGGGGGAGGAGAAGAGATGCCCAGGCTTGATTGATATTAATATTGAAGCCACGGCTGGGACCACGAGCTACTCCCTTGCCTGGCCACCTGGGTGCAAACTGTCACCGGAGGAACAAGTGTTGCTGGCTGGAGCCTTTAAGGGGAAGGAGATCTGCAAAGGGGAGAGAGATCGGTCCTGCATTTTGGCTCTACAGCATCTCCCTTTAAAGTTGCAGCCTAGGTAAGTTCTTTCTCTCTCTCTGAGAATAAACACACAATCTCCTGCCTTCGATTTGGGCGCTGCTGTTGCCGGGCGATGCGTCCCCTTCAACAGGTGATTCCGCGAACTCTTAATCCGCCAGCTTTTTAAATATTTAATTGCAGAGAGTAAGGCGATACTTTGTTGTTTTTCCTTACGAGCCGTTCTGCCTTAATAATGAAACATCTGGGTCGATTCCTATCCGGACGCTGAACGAAAAGGAAATGTATCGGGGTTATTAAAACAAGGTTGCTTGTGTTTGCTGCGTAGGGAAATAAACCAAGAGGTGTGTGTGTGTGTCTGTGTGTTCTCAACTAATACATCCTAACAGCACAGATTTTTGCACACTGTTGATCCTGCCCAGGGTGACGTTTAGAATAAAGGGGGGGGGGAGACCCATCACCATCGATCATGGGATTAATTGATCGACCAACTGTATGTGAAGTGCCAGTCCAATGCTGAAATCTTTGCTCCTGTGGCTTTGCAGCTGGGCAGCTTGGCTAATTAATCTGCGCAGGGTTATGTATGAGATGAACGAAAATTCAGAAGTGCCTAGCCGTTTGGGGTCCCCACCTCCCCGGAAAGGTACGACTTGTGTTTTGATGGGCAAGAATCTGAAGATTCTGCCTTACCTGTATTTCCAGCATAGAAATTCAGAGTTCTTTCTCGAGATCCGTGGCGTGGGAGTTTATCTGTTTGTTCATAGGTGGGTGGGTGTGTGTGTGTTCACGTTTATCTGACCAGATGGATGGATTGATGGATAGATTTTGGGTTTCACCCTGGCTGCCACTCCCCACTTCCCTGGTGGCGTTAAAGTTCCTGTAGTCCCGAGATCTTCCTCCTCACGCTTCTGTCTGTACACAGCTTGCCAATATTAGGACACAGCTTCTCTGGAAATAATGTCCACCCCTCTCTCAATTCTATGAAGTACAGTGGGAATACTCTGACTGTCTAATCTCTGATGCTCTCTGATTATTTAGCTCTCCCACAGCACTGTGGCCAGATTGATTCTTTCCCAAATCCCTGCTAATACGTCTTCGTTTTGTGGCTTAATAGTTTCCGCTGAGTTGAAATGGCCACAAGTTTGGATCAAGGTGTCGTCTTCTTGTCGTCGTTATTTCTCTCCCTGTCTGTATTATTACTTTCTTCTGCCTCACACACATCTAGGGACATGGATTTCTTATCTCAAATGGTTTTGCAACACCATCTTCTATTTTGGGGGGGTCCAAAATTCAGTATATTTTGGATTTGTTGGTGTACCTTTGGCTATCACAGATGAAGATCAACATCTGCCTTGAATTCTCTCGTTAATTTAGTTTTAAGTGGGGATCTTCAGACAACCTGTTGCTGCAGGCACACCTGTGCCCTATCTTAGAATCAGTGTGAAGGTGGTTGTTTTTTTTAATGTTGTGGCAGGTTCTTGTGCTTTTATTCATTTATTGGGGGGTGGGAATTATACACATTTCTTCATCAGGGAAATGAAAAATGCTCGTTCAACAGGATGGCTTGTAGGACGGCTATACTGTGAATAATCCATATCATCTCGTTACCCCTGTGTGATCCTGAGGGGTTTGGATACCTCCATTTCTGCTGTTGCTCACCGTTTAAATGTAGCGTGTTAAATTAGTTATCCCCTTAGGAGCTGAATGATCTCGGATCTTAGTTTTCAGTAGCTTATGTGCAGGCGAAGATCTTACCAGATTGTGGCCCATGCAAAATTTACGTAGCAATTAAAAATCTGCAAGCCACTGCATCCTCCTTATTTATTCCTAGTCAGCTCATGTTATTATACCCATTTCATGGACAGGGTACTGTGAGGCTAAGACGACCCAACCAAGGAGCCTCTCCCACCCAGATCCTTCCTCCGGAGGATTTTATCCCCTGGGCTTCCACAGCCTAGCCTTTGAGTCAACAGAAGACATGGGATTAGCTCTCTGATTTTATGCCGATTGCATAGGATGCTTGTCTAGGATCATAGTGTGAACACCACGGTGGGAAAAAGTGTTCAGAGGTTGTGTGGCACAGATGATCACATTTCTTTTTTAAAAAAACCCTGTTTGGAAGCATGAAGGCTGGATCCTTTTAAGAAACAAAACAGCAGAACACACAAAGCTGAGATAGCTAAGAATCTCAGGTGTTCCTCCTAGGACAATGCAACTTGCCAGGTACTTTTCAAAGCGTGGCTTTTGAGTTTTTATGTAGCAGAGCCTGTGGCTCTGGGGATGTTGCTAGAATCTTATTATTGAATAGGACTTTATTCGATATACGTCGTTCCATTTTAAAGTTTTTGTATTGGATCTGATTATTATAAGGCATGTGTTCTTCGTTGTATATTTTGTAGCTGTACATCGCCTTGGGCATAGTAAGAAAGGCGGCATACAATTGAAAAGTGAAATGAAACAAACTCCACCTAGCCTAGCCCACTGGTCAGGGATGATGGCAGCTGCACATTCAGGGCGGCAGAGACACCGTCCCTGATAGAAATAATTATACTTATAGATCAGAATGCGTTTAGGGATTCATCCAGTCTTGCATTCTGTCCTCCACAAAGGCCAACCGGGTGGTTTGCTGCCTTGTTCCCCTTCAGAAACCATGGACCTGCTTTTCTGAGTTTCCACTAGTAGACTTGACACCCGGTAAAACACCCTTTAAAAGCGGGGAAAGGAGACCAGTGCGTTCCCACGGTCTTGACATTTCGCCTGTCCCGTTAGTCTTGTCCCTGTCCCTTCCCGATCAAACTCGCAATTGTGAAAACTCACTATTGTCCGCTGCCAAAAAGAGGAGCAGTTGGCATGGTGGGTTTTCTCTGTGTCCCTGTAGTTCCTTCCTCCAGAGTTGCTGTTGTTTTTTGGGGGGGCGGAAAACTAGCCGGCCTTTGTTTCTTGGTGACACCTGTAAGGGAAAACCAGCCAAGATAGGGAGGATGGGAGAAGAGAGAGCAAAATAAAAAATTTAAAAACAAACGTAGCTGCTTCCTGGTTGCTTTCGACAGCTGCCCAGTCCACTCGGTGGCGGGGAGACGTTCCCCCCCCCCTTTGGACTTTTCTCAGGGAGGCAGGCTTGCTCCGAAAAAGAGCCCCGGATCGCGGACACCTTTGCCTGGGCTCGCTTGGTTGTTGTTGTTGCTCTTGTCCCTAGCGTTGGCTGGAGCCGAGCAGCTGGTTTCAGCAGCAACCTGTTTCCACTCCAGACACACGGTGTGTGTGGGTGGATGTTTTTGTCTGTGAAGCCCTCAGCCGCTGGAGAATCCCCTCCCGTTTCTGCCGGTGGGGGATGAGATTAATTTTCCATTTTGCATCATTATACCCGTTTCTGCGCTCTCTGCCTTTAAAAATTCGTTCTGCAGGCACTGTGTTCTGTGCACAGCCTCCCGGTGTATATATGTATGTGTGTGCTTGTGTGTTTGAGAGAGAGATCCGTCCTAGGCTCCTATTACAGAGGGGAAACTGAGGCTGAGATTTGCTGTAGGTGTGTGGCAGGAAGACTTGAACTCGAGTCAAACTCTATAGGGAGCGGGTGAAGGTTGCCATCCTAGGAACGCGAAATTGGCAGGTCAGGCCAATTGTGTGCCGTTTTTTTGAGCGGTTTGATAGTTTTGCAGCTTTGTGAGGAATATCTGTCATCCGGCTTAGTACTGTCTGCACTGACTGACAGCTGCTCTTCAGAATTTCAAATGGGGGATTTCTCCCAGCCTTGCCTGGGGATCGAGCGTGAGACCTTTTCTACCAGATGCTCTGCCCGTGAACTGTGCCTTCGTTCAGAGCCAAATGCTCCCCTACCTAAACTGAGCCTAGAAACGCTGGTTTTCCTCTTCCTGGCTCACCCCTGGAAGTGTAACAAAACCGATTTTGCCTCACATCATGTGCAGAGTGTTTCCCCGTCTTTACTGAACAACTCCAGCTTTGATCATGTTGGTGTTCCCTGTTGCAGAATGTGAATTATTATTATTTTTTGCAGTCAATGGAAAAGAAAGGAGGGGGGACAATAAGGCTTCGGTTTCCTTCTCCCCTCAAACCTTCTTGCAAGGAATTGATCTCCGGTTTTACTTTCTTGGGTTCCATGATCACTGCAGATGGTGACAACAGTCACGAAATTAAAAGACGCCTGCTTCTTGGGAGCAAAGCGATGACAAACCTAGACAGCATCTTAAAAAGCCGAGACATCACCTTGCCAACAAAGGCCTGTGTAGTTAAAGCTATGGTTTTCCCAGTACAGTGGTACCTCGGGTTAAGTACTTAAATCGTTCCGGAGGTCCGTTGTTAACCTGAAACTGTTCTTAACCTGAAGCACCACTTTAGCTAATTGGGCCTCCTGCTGCTGCTGCGCCGCCAGAGCACGATTTCTGTTCTCATCATGAAGCAAAGTTCTTAACCCAAGGTACTATTTCTGGGTTAGCGGAGTCTATAACCTGAAGCATATGTAACCCGAGGTACCACTGTAGTGATGTATGGAAGTGAGAGCTGGTCCATAAAGAAGGCTGATTGCCGAAGAATTGATGCTTTTGAATTATGGTACTGGAGGAGACTCTTGAGAGTCCCATGGACTGCAAGAAGATCAAACGTATCCATTCTGAAGGAAATCATCCCTGAGTGCTCACTGGAAGGACAGATCCTGAAGCTGAGGCTCCAATACTTTGGCCACCTCATGAGAAGAGAAGACTCCCTGGAAAAGACCCTGATGTTGGGAAAGATGGAGGGCACAAGGAGAAGGGGATGACAGAGGACGAGATGGTGGGACAGTGTTCTCGAAGCTACCAGCATGAGTTTGACCAAACTGCGGGAGGCAGTGGAAGACAGGAGGGCCTGGCGTGCTCTGGTCCACAGGGTCACGAAGAGTTGGACACGACTAAACGACTAAACAACAACAAAAATATATTTCCTTCTCCAGAAGTCGCCTTATTAATTAATTAAAAGGATCTATAACCCACCCTTTACCCGAAGGCACCAGGGCAAGAATGGATACAACCTGTGCCAAAATCCAGCAATTATTTTATATATTCCACATTCGAATTCTATTCCGTACACGATGGTACATTTGAACATATGTCTTAGAATCAACAATCTTGTTTGGGCATATGGGCCGCCTCTGCAAATATCTGTGTTTAAGTCAGGATTCGTAGACCGTTCTTATTGTAAATGGGAGAGCGCATTTCTTTCTGTTGCATTTGCAATAAAAATAAGGGTTAAAGATAATGTTAAAAGTGCGTAAAAAACAAAAGACAGACTTCCAGTTAAAATCATGGAAAGATAGAATTTGTAGAGTTGGAAGGGACCCCAAGGGACATCTAGCCCAACCCCCTGAAATGCAGGAATCTCAACCAGATCCTCCATGACGGATGTGCCTCCAACATCTGCTTAGAAACCTCCAAGGAAGGAGAGGCCACCATTTCTTGTGGATGTCTATTCCACTGTCAAACAGCTCATACTGTCAGTTACAAAGAAACCAGCAACGATGTCAGATTTCCAGATGCCCAGTGTTCATATGATAGTTTAGTTGGCCAAGCATCTCAGGTTCATGAGTTCGAGCCCCACGTTGGGCAAAAGATTCCTGCATTGCAGGGGGTTGGACTAGATGACCCTGGGGTCCCTTCCAACTCTAGAGTTCTATGATTCTATATCCCAGCTTTTTCTCCAAGGAGCTCATGGTGGAACAGATGGTTCTTCCCCTACCCCATTTAATCCCCTGGTCCACTACTCATAAAGAAGGCTGATTGCCGAAGAATGAATGCTTTTGAATTATGGTGCTGGAGGAGACTCTTGAGAGTCCCATGGACTGCGAGAAGATCCAACCTCTCCATTCTGAAGGAAATCAGCCCTGAGTGCTCACTGGAAGGACAGATCCTGAAGCTGAGGCTCCAAGACTTGGGCCACCTCATGAGAAGAGAAGACTCCCTGGAAAAGACCCAGCGAGCTTCATGGCTGAGTGGGGATTTGAAACCTGGTCTCTCCCAGGTCCTAGTCCAACACTAACCGACCTCGCAGGGTCATTGTAGGGATTAGCTGAGGAGTGGGGGTGAACGATATACTCCCAGGAGAAAAAGGGGGGAGATGGATGCAGTATATAAGACCCTCTACTTACCGGCTTAAAAAAGCTGAAGGAGCCAGCCAGATAGAGATGTCAGTCACCAATCTGATGTCCAGAGATCTCAACATGGTCGCAGTCAGATCTGCGGCAGTCGCAAAAAGGCTCCTGGCGCCTGGCTAATTTCAAACACAGATTCTGACCCCAGCGGATCTCCACCCCATCAATCGTATTAGACGTTCAGCCCCAGATTTAAATCCTGCCAAGCGCAAGGCCCGCTTGCGGAGAGAGAAATTGAGAGGGCATGGCTGACGGGGACCGATGGGAGCTGTCGACCGAAGGGCACCAGGTTGGGCAAGGCTGCTCTAGGGAGAGGTAGCGAGGGGTAGTGGTTAGAGTGCTGGACTAGGACCTTGGGAGACTGGGGTTCAGATCCCCACTTTGGACCACTGCCTCTCTGCCTAACCTACCTCAAAAGGTAGTTGTGGAGGTCAAATGAGGATGAGTACCCCCCCCATACATACACAGGTAATAGTGTATATATTTCAATGCTTTCCACTAACTATCCCAGTGCAGTTGTACCTTGGTTGTCAAATGCTTTGGTACTCGGACATTTTGGCTCCCGAATGCCGCAAACCCAGAAGTAAGTGTTTTGGTTTGTGAACGTTTTTTTTAGGAAGCCGAATGTCCGATTCGGCTGTTCGCATTGTTTCTGGGTCCAATCAGCCAATCTGAAGCCGTGCCTTGGTCTGCGAACGTTTTGGAAGCCGAACGGACTCACAGAACGGATCCCGTTCAATGACCAAAGTATGACTGTACAAGTGTTAAGTACCGTATTTTTCGCCCTATAGGATGCACTTTTCCCCCTCCAAAAATGAAGGGGAAATGTGTGTGCGTCCTATGGGGCGAATGCAGGCTTTCGCTGAAGCCTGGAGAGTGAGAGGGGTCGGTACGCACCGACCCCTCTCGCTCTCCAGGCTCCAGGAAGCTATCCACAAGCCTGCGGGGCCCGCGGGAGTTCCTGCTGGGCTCCCACGGCTTGTGCAGATCTGCATGGGCGCGCTGAGGAGTCGCGCCCCGGGCTTCAGGTAGCTCTCCGCAAGCCGTGGGAGGGCTCCCACGGCTTGTGGAGAGCAGCCTGTTCTGGGGGCTGGGGAAGCTCGGGCTTCCCCCGCCCCAGCCCCGCGCCTGGGGGGGTAATAAATTTTTTTTCTTTATTTCCCCCCCAAAAAACTAGATGCGCCCTATGGGCTGGTGCGCCCTATGGGACGAAAAATACGGTAGCTACAGGGACCCCCTGGGATTTAAGCGCTGGATCTCTTGGATCCCTTTTGAACCACACTGGTTACTTCCTAGTCCTTTGGTATAGAGGCCAGGTTTGGGGACAAATAGTGGCGCATTTTTGCTAAAAAGACCAAAGATTTTGCATGTTGAAAGCTTCAGGAATCCTAGAGTTGAATGCTACCCATCTCTGATGGCTTGTCCTGCATCCTTTTGCCACCTCTCTTTGACTTGGATTCGATTTACGAATTTCCCTTTACAATTGCAACTAGAGCAGGTCCATATATATATATGCCAATGCACGGGTGGGTTCCTCTTCCTTGGCAGTTTTTAAGCTTAGGTTGGATGGCCATCTGTCATGGATGCTTTAGTTGAGATTCCTGCATTGCAACGCTCCAATTCTCTGATTCTATGCTACCCCAGTCTCCGAGTGGTGAGAGACTCCAGAGGTTCTGGGGTTCGTTTTACTTGAAATAAGGAACGGTGGAGACTGTGGAATCTTTCAGATATATGGTTATTCACACATGTATACAACCAGATCAGTACAACCATACAATCAACAACCTCAGATATGCAGATGAGACAACCTTGATGGCAGAAAGTGAGGAGGAATTAAAGAACCTTTTATTGAGGATGAAAGAGGAGAGCACAAAATATGGTCTGATGCTCAACATCAAAAAAACGAAGATCATGGCCACTGGTCCCATCACCTCCTGGCAAATAGAAGGGGAAGAAATGGAGGCAGTGAGAGATTTTACTTTCTTGGGCTCCATGATCACTGCAGATGGTGACAGCAGCCATGAAATTAAAAGACGCCTGCTTCTTGGGAGAAAAGCAATGACAAACCTAGACAGCATCTTAAAAAGTAGAGACATCACCTTGCCAACAAAGGTCCATATAGTAAAAGCTATGGTTTTCCCAGTAGTGATGTATGGAAGTGAAAGCTGGACCATAAAGAAGGCTGATTGCCGAAGAATTGATGCTTTTGAATTATGGAGCTGGAGGAGACTCTTGAGAGTCCCATGGACTGCAAGAAGATCAAACCTCTCCATTCTGAAGGAAACCAGCCCTGAGTGCTCGCTGGAAGGACAGATCCTGAAGCTGAGGCTCCAAGACTTTGGCCACCTCATGAGAAGAGAAGACTCCCTGGAAAAGACCCTGATGTTGGGAAAGACGGAGGGCACAAGGACGAGATGAGGACGAGATGGTTGGACAGCGTTCTCGAAGCTACGAACATGAGTTTGACCAAACTGCGGGAGGCAGTGGAAGACAGGAGTGCCTGGCGTGCTGTGGTCCAGGGGGTCACAAAGAGTTGGACATGACTAAATGACTAAGCAACAACAGTATACAACCAGAGCCTAAGATGGCAGGGCTCAGGGCACCAGCACCCCAGAAGGTCTTGCTTCTCCCATCGTCAAAGCCTTGCATTCCAGCAGAAGCTGAGTGTGGCTCCCCCTCTCTGGCTTCAGCCTGCAGCCTGCTTCTAAAAACTACTGGCTAGTGTCCTTCTCACCACCAGTCAAGTGAGGAAGGGGTCCAGACATCAGGCACAAAGCCACCCTCTTTTTAATGCTAGCGACCAGACTTCTAGAATTGTAAAGTCAGAAAGGACCTCAAGGGCCATCTAGTCCAACCCACTGCAATGCAGGAATCTTTTGCCCAACGTGGGGCTCGAACCCATGAACCTGAGATCAAGAGTCTCATGCTCTGCCAGTTGAACTATCATATATCATCCTTCCTTGGGTGGCCATCTGTCATGGATGATCTAGTTGAGATTCCTGCATCGCAGGGAGTTGGACCCTTCTGTAAATTCTGTGGTTCCATGATTTTAACTGGAAGTCTGTCTTTTGCTTTACAGTGGTGCCTCGCAAGACGAAATTAATTCGTTCTGCGAGTTTTTTCGTCTTGCGAATTTTTCGTCTTGCGAAGCACGGTTTCCCAAAGTCTTCAAAATCACCAAAGTCTTCAAAAACCTCAAAAAAGGCTACCACACCGCGTGCTATGAGTTGCTCCTCGAAGTCACCCTGGGTATTAACGGTTTTAAGAAAAAGGAAACAAACTTGCAAGATGTTTTCGTTTTTCGTCTTGCGAAGCAAGCCCATAGGGAAATTCGTCTTGTGAAGCAACTCAAAAAACGAAAAACTTTTTCGTCTTGCGAGTTTTTCGTCTTGCGAGGCATTCGTCTTGCGAGGTACCACTGTACGCTCTTTTGACATTATCTTTAACCTCCATTGGATTTTAACTCTTGCTGGATCCAGGGCCCCAGGAATCGCTTAAGGGACTCTGGCATCAAGCAGACCAACCCCCACAGCACACAAACACACCCCACAGGCTTAAGAGCATAAACAGGTACATCTTCAAAGGTGATGAAAGCTTCAGAATGAGGGTGCCGAATGCACTTCTGTGGGGAGGGAATTCCATAAGATTAGAGTTTGTTGGCTGTTGGATCTCCCTCCCTCCCTCCGATAGTCTCCCTCCTTTAAAAAATAAAATAAAATGCAATTCTGTCTGTCCTACATTTTCTGAAGTGAGGGCAGACACAAAGAATTCATTCAGCTGCCTTGCCCTGCTGTCTCCTCCTTTAATGCTCCTTTCAGAAGTGCTTTGTCTTCTGTGGCCAGTTCTTCTAATGTATTGTATTATTATTATTATTATTGGGCTTAAACGGTCTTAGCAATGGACATTTCAGATTCTCCTTTCCATTCCCTTATCAGCTGCGAACTTGCCAGAGTTTTTGCGTTCCTTTTTGGTCTTGTTTGGGCAAGACTTAATGAGGGGCTCGCTTTGCCGTGTTCTCTCTCTCTCTATATATATACTTATATATCACACCATAAAAAAGACAAAACCATGGGAACTAGTTCACCCACCACGGAACTACAACTCCCAGTACCATTAACAACCACAGTTCCTGTGGATTCTGGCGCGAGAGAGAAAATGTGCTTTAAATGTGCTGGGGTGACACTCCACCAGTCAGGCAGCCTGTTTTGCCGCCACAGATCTGCACTGGAAACTGCCAGTACTGTAATATTGATTGATTGATTGATTGATTGATTTTATTCTATTTCTGTGCTGCTTTTTATTCAAATACATCCCAAAGCGGCTTACAAACAAAAGATAAAATATAACGGTGTCTGCACGGTAGAGCATGGGCTTTTAGTCAGGCCTGAGCCCTGCCGCCATAAAAGAATCCTGCATTGCAGGGGGTTGGACTAGATGACCCCCAAGGTCCCTTCTGTTATGTACTGAAGTTCTCACCCTGGGCCAGCAGGGGGATACTGTGGCATGGTTTCACCAGGGTCCACATACAAACAAGTGGACTGAAAGTGACGCTCAGTGATTGGATAGTTATGAAAGTTGTTACTGTTGTTTGTAGTGAGCTCGATATACAGATTGGCTGAACCTCAGTCTGGGTTCCTGTTCTGTCCTGTGAATAAATAAGAGCTGTTTGAAGAATCGCTGTGTTGTCTGATATGTTCACCCACAACATAACACCTTCCAACTCTACAGTTCTGTGATTCCTTTCATGCGCTCGACGCTGTTTGGGTGCCATTTGAGCCCTGTCCTTTCTTGCCATCATCCAGAAGGAAGCTACTCACCTGAATTGCTCCTTTCTTCCATTTCCAACTCAACTCAAGTCTAAGATAGTTGGGACGAGGGTGGCGCTATGGATTAAACCACAGAGCCTAGGACTTGCCGATCAGAAGGTCAGCGGTTCGAATCCCCGCGACGGGGTGAGCTCCCCTTGCTCGGTCCTGCCCTGCCAACCTAGCATTTCGAAGCACTGGTGCAAGTAGATAAATAGGTACCACTCCGGCGGGAAGGTAAACGGCGTTTCCGTGCGCTGCTCTGGTTCACCAGAAGTGGCTTTGTCATGCTGGCCACATGACCCGGAAGCTGTATGCCGGCTCCCTTGGCCAATAAAGCGAGATGAGCACCGCAACCCCAGAGTCAGTCACGACTGGACCTAATGGTCAGGGGTCCCTTTACCTTTAAGATAGTTGCAATTTCCACTTTCTGCAGCCTGTTCCTCTTTGCACCAGCTGTGGACCACCTGTTCCCTCTCACTTTTCAAAACGGCACTTTCTTCTTCCATGAACAACTGGGCCTTTACGTTTCCGCTTGCCCTTTTCACGCACAGACTTTGTCATTCCATCCCGGTGCTTTTATTTCAACTTGTGGCAATTGGCTTCTCTGCCGAGTCTTCGCCAACGGGCGCGGAGAAGTTATTTTTGCTCTTCCCGCTGGCTCTCCGGCTCCCGTGGGCTCCATTTGCAGACGCACACAGCAGCTGCTACGACTGGGATCCTGCCGGGCTGCAAGCTTCCTCTGTGGCAAAGGGGAAACATAAAGTGAATGGAACGATGCTTTCTAATGGGTCCAGCTGGCGGCTTTTGAACTGTGTGCTCTTCGTTAGGGATGCTTGCATACAGTTTCGAAAGAGAGATGGAGATGGCTTGGCTGCATCTGTGAAACCATATCCAGTAGCAAAGGATATCTAACTAGGTTTCAGGTGCCTTGTGGTCTGAAGTTCATTTTTTGTTCCACACACTCCACTGCCCATTTCCCGTTATTAGAGACATGTGGAGGATAAGTGATTTTCCTTGGTACTCAGTTGGTGAATCTGAACCACACCAAAACGTTCTACATCAGCATCAGCACTGAGGTTGAATCCTGACAAGACGGAAGTACTGTTTTTTGGGGGACAGGGTGCAGGCGGGTGTGGAGGACTCCCTGGTCCTGAATGGGGTAACTGTGCCCCTGAAGGACCAGGTGCGCAGCCTGGGAGTCATTTTGGACTCACAGCTGTCCATGGAGGTGCAGGTCAATTCTGTATCCAGGGCAGCAGTCTTCCAGCTCCATCTGGTGCGCAGGATGAGACGCTACTTGCCCACAGACTGTCTTGCCAGAGTGGTGCATGCTCTAGTTATCTCCAGCTTGGACTACTGCAATGCGCTCTATGTGGGGCTACCTTTGAAGGTGACCCAGAAACTACAACTAATCCAGAATGTGGCAGCTAGACTGGTGACTGGGAGTGGCCGCCAGGACTACATAACACCAGTCCTAAGAGATCTGCATTGGCTCCCAGTACATTTCCAAGCACAATTCAAAGTGTTGGTGCTGACCTTTAAAGCCCTAAATGGTCTCAGCCCAGTTTACCTGAAGGAGCATCTCGACCCCCATCGTTCAGCCCGGACACTGAGATCCAGCTCTGAGGGTCTTCTGGCAGTTCCCTCACTGCGAGAAGCAAAGCTAGAGGGAACCAGGCAGAGTGCCTTCTTGGTGGTGACGCCCACTCTGTGGAATGCCCTCCCATCAGATGTCAAGGAAATAAACAACTACCAGACTTTTAGAAGACATCTGAAGGCAGCCCTATTTAGGGAAGTTTGTAATGTTTGATGTTAATGTGTTTTTAATATTCTGTTGGGAGCCACCCAGAGTGGGCAGGGATAAATAATAAATTATTATTATTATTATTATTTACATCTGCTGTTGTCTGTCCGGTGTGATGGCTGTTGTGAGTCTGAAGTTGTTGTGAGTCTGAAGTTGATCTCTTGGTGGCTCCAGCAGGAAAACCATGGGATTCAGTGGTTTGTAGAAGTTCCTTCTTAGGGGCTGCAGTTTCCTGCAATATGCAGTTTTCTTGCTTCCTCTAGAGTCACTTTTGCCAGCCTAGAGGTTCCAATTTATTTCATTTATCTATTTTGACAATGTATATACTGCTCAACTGCAGCAGTCTTTACAAGCAACTCAGTCCAGTGAAAACAAAAGCAGTTAAGTTCATAAAATGCTTGCTGGAATGAAAAGTGTTCGGTGTGATGGACGTTTAACGTATTGCAAAATTTGTTAGGATGCTTTAACCTTTCTCTTCTGCATATTGCAAAGCACAGCTAATACATAAACACATACATCAGACATGGAGTGAAAACTTAATTCCTAAACGTTAGGAAATGAACTTGCATTCATTTAGCGCCTGTTTTTTTTAGTAGAGCACTGTATTGGCCTGCCCCTACAACTTCCCTCTACTTATATTTTTCTGTCCTCCTCCTACCCTGTTCAGAATTCGTTTCCTACCCCCGTTCAGTTGGCATTTCGGCAGGCAGAGATCCATCCAGTCCAGGGGTCAGCAAACTTTTTCAGCAGGGGGCCGGTCCACTGTCCCTCAGACCTTGTGGGGGACTGGACTATATTTTGGGAAGGAAAAAAAATGAACGAATTCCTATGCCCCACAAATAACCCAGAGATGCATTTTTAATAAAAGGGCACATTCTATTCGTGTAAAAACACGCTGATTCCTGGACCGTCCGTGGGCCGGATTTAGAAGGCGATTGGGCCGGATCCAGCCCCCGGGCCTTAGTTTGCCTACCCATGCTCCAGTCCATCTCTCATTGGGCAGGATTGCTGAATCATTTCTTCCAAATCCTTTTCATTTCCTCTGTGCCCGCAGAGCTTCAAGCTGTAGCAGTATTCAAATCTTTCCTTCCTCTTTGCATATTAGATTGTTCTCTCTCTCTCTCTCTCTCTCTCTCTCTCTCTCTCTCTCTCCAGCTTTCTCTCTTCATAAAATGCCTCTTCTCTTCTCCCTAGAGGGAATTTGTGCTCTTTCTGGTCTCTGCTTATGGGGCACATAGCTTATTGCAAGGCCCTGGCCTCCACTTGCCCCCCTTGCCCATCTCTTTCCACCTGAACTCCTCTGTGACCCTTCCTAACTTGGCTACAGCCCTCTGTTCTTTGAGTTTTTCATCATCCTTTGAAGCTGTGTACACCTGGGTACCAAAGGCTGATTGAGTCCTCACTATTACTGTGACACAGCAAGGGACGGGCATGAGGTCACTTGCCTGGTTAAACTGGAACGGTGCTTTGCAGAAGCATCGTAAAGAACTGGAAAGTACCTAGGAGGTCATTTGTTGTTGTTTAGTCGTTTAGTCATGTCCGACTCTTTGTGACCCCATGGACCAGAGCACACCAGGCACTCCTGTCTTCTACTGCCTCCCGCAGTTTGGTCAAACTCATGCTGGTAGCTTCGAGAACACAGTCCCACCATCTCGTCCTCTGTCGTCCCCTTCTCCTTGTGCCCTCCATCTTTCCCAACATCAGGGTCTTTTCCAGGGAGTCCTTTCTTCTCATGAGGTGGCCAAAGTATTGGAGCCTCAGCTTCAGGATCTGTCCTTCCAGTGAGCACTCAGGGCTGATTTCCTTCAGAATGGAGAGGTTTGATCTTCTTGCAGTCCATGGGACTCTCAAGAGTCTCCTCCAGCACCATAATTCAAAAGCATCAATTCTTTGGCAATCAGCCTTCTTTATGGTCCAGCTCTAACTTCCATACATCACTACTGGGAAAACCATAGCTTTAACTATACGGACCTTTGTTGGCAAGGTGATGTCTCTGCTTTTTAAGAGTTTTGACCAAACGTGATCCACCTGGAGCAGGAACCGGCAAGCCACTCCAGTATCCCTGCCAAGAAAACTTCATGGACAAAGACAACAGGAGGTCATAGAACCCATAGAATTGTAGAGTTGATCATCTCGGTCGCTCTCCTCTGTACACATTCCAGCTTGTCAACATCCTTCTTAAATTGTGATGCTCAGAACAGGACCCAGATGTGGTCTTACTATCTCAACCCCAGCTCATTGTAGGAGCTGCAATATGAGATGCCTGGCCTTTGCTTCCATTGCCTGGGATGCTGTCATGGTTGTTTTCAGTGTCTGCAGCTGAAAAGTTGTGTAGAACCCATGGTGGGTTCGGAGGGAGGGCAGGTGCTGATGTTGTGCATTGAACAGTTACGATGCCTGGTTTGCACTGGAAAACTTTACGGTCCCAAAAATCTACAGACAGCTCCCGTCACCGATTTATTGCAAACTTAGAAAACAGGAACAGAACAAATGGAGGAATGAGAAGCACACATGCAGAGAGGGGCAGGCGCACGACCGGAAGCAATCTGATACTGACACACGAAGGGCTTTTATTCTTGCTAGAAGCTCCGCCTTGCCCTCACCGGTTCTGGAAGGCTCCTATAGAAGAGTCTTATACACACAGAGACTTTGTGCCTGCCCATTAGGGGAAATAGGAAGCCCCAAACATATATTTTTTAGATGTCCTTTTTATGTTGAGATTCGTAGAGACACCACTGATCCTTTGCTGAAGAGGCTCGCTGATCTTTCAGACGAGTCTAAATTTAATTCTCTCCTCTTAGGCAAAGATCACAAGACGACCTGGCTGGTAGCCAGATTCTGCACCCAGATTTGTAGGCACAGATCATCCTCTAGAATAAAATAGCTTACTAGGGAAATGCTGAAGTTGCCCTTTGGGGCGCCTCAGGGTCAATTTTTTATGGCAGCCCAAATCTCCATTGTGCGGGTGTATGGATATATCTCAATTTTAACTCATGAACTATTGCTGCAATCTGCTCCGATAGTATATTTTATCTTTATGAACGGTGTTTTTATTGTGTCATTTATGTGAACTGGTATTTGACCGTAATAAATTATCTAATTTGATGCTGGCATACTCTTTAAAAAAACAAAAACACCAGCACATCTACAGTGGTGCCTCGCTAGACGAAATTAATTCGTTCTGCGAGTTTTTCGTCTTGCGGTTTTTTCCGTCTTGCGAAGCACGGTGTCGGAAAAGTTTTGGAAAAGCTTTAAAAAATCACCAAAGTCTTCAAAAACCTCAAAAAAGGCTACCACACCGCGTGCTATGAGTTGCTCCTCGAAGTCAAGTCGCAACTGTATTAACGGTTTTAAGAAAAAGAAAACAAACTTGCAAGACGTTTCCGTCTTGCAAAGCAAGCCCATAGGGAAAATCGTCTGCGAAGGAACTCAAAAAACCAAAAACCCTTTCGTTTTGCGAGTTTTCCGTCTTGCGAGGCATTCGTCTTGCGAGGTACCACTGTATATCCAAAAACTGCAAGCAGGAGCTGGGTTTCTTTGAGATTGGTGCAGGTCCAGTTACCCAGGTATCTGGCATGTTTTGTAACTGATGTGGGTCCAGTTGTGGCCACGTGGAGATCTATGGATCTCAGGTTGGCGACTGACCTCTCCACCTGGCTGGCCCTCCCAGCTTTCTTAAGCAGGTGAGCAGAAGAGCTTTTTATATCCCACCTTTTTCTCCAGGGAGTACGTGGCCGTCTCCTTCCCGCTCAGTTAATCCCTACAACTCCGCGAGGTAGATTAAGACTGACTCCAAGGTCACCCTTCATGGCTGAGTGGGGATTTGAATCCTGATCTCCCAGGTCCTCATCTGACACCCTAACCCCACTGGCTTCCTAGAGTACTGCCAGAGGCAGCTTCCCCAGTGTGCTTAAGGATAGGGCCGGCTGTCTGCCTTAATGTCCTTGCAAGAAAGACAGGCTGGAAGTGTGATGAATAATAACAAGAAAGAGGGAAATTAAAACCCTTGTTGCTCCTTCGGGATGGAGAGAGGGGTCCCCTCTGCTGGTTCCCGTGCTATTTTTAAAAAACGGAGGCGGCTTCTTTCTGCAAAGCAATCCCTTTAGTGCCTGCAGAGAGCGATCCTGGCAGGGGGTCTACTGTAGCCGGCGCCTGGCTGGGTTGGGAAATGAGAGGGGCTCAGAAGCTGAGCTGCGAAACCTCCCTTTCACTCTTCTCCCTTGCCTGTGAAATCAGAGCAACCAGAAAGTCGTGTTGAAAAATAATACAACTTTTGAGCTGTCTGCCCCCCAAATGGCAACGATGCTTTCTGTTTTGAAGAAGAAGAAGGGTTTGGATTTGATATCCCGCTTTATCACTACCCTAAGGAGTCTCAAAGTGGCTAACATTCTCCTTTCCCTTCCTCCCCCACAACAAACACTCTGTGAGGTGAGTGAGGCTGAGAGACTTCAGAGAAGTGTGACTGGCCCAAGGTCACCCAGCAGCTGCATGTGGAGGAGCAGAAACTCGAACCCGGTTCACCAGATTACGAGTCTACTGCTCTTAACCACTACACCACACCGACTGTAACCCTGGTTTAAAGAGCCGTTTCAAGCCTGGCTTATACAGTCATACCTCAGGTTACAGACGCTTCACGTTGTGTGTTTTTTGGGTTACGGACCGCCGAAACCCGGAAATACCAGAACGGGTTACTTCCGGGTTTTGGCGGTCGCGTATGCACACAAGTGCTAAATCGCACTTTGTGCATGCACAGAAGCATTGAATCGCAACCTGCACGTGCGCAGACATGGGTTGCGAATGCTGCGGGTTGCGAATGTCCATTCTGCACGGATCACGTTTGTAAACCGAGTGTCCACTGTATAGTGAGTTGAGTTTCTAACCCTGCCTGTAGAGTAGTCCAACTAAAGGAGCAAAATTGGGTGTGTTTTTGGCTTAGGGAGCGAGCAGCCCAGATTCGGCCTAGATGCAACCCGCCCCCCCATGACTGCCTCCGAACCGAAATCTCATTTTGAGACGCAGAGCTTGGCAAGATCAATAAACGAACCACATTAGGGACTTAAGCAACCAACTGCAGGATTTTGGAACTATCCAAACACGAGCCTGTTTCTTGTCCCCTGGGGTTGCTGTGGGATTGTCGGAGGCAGGCACCAACCTGGACCCCTTCTCAGAGATGGCTCCGTTGTGGATGCTTTTGCCCTCTGCCCATAATAATAATAATAATAATAATAAAATAATAACATTTTATTTATATCCCACCCTCCCCAGCCAAAGCCGGGCTCAGAGCGGCTAACAACAATAAAAGTAACACAACATTCTAAAATCAATTCATTTTAAAATCAGTTCAAAATTAAATCAAATTAAGTTCAAAATCAAATTAATGTCAACCAAGGTATGAGGTAAGGGAGGGAGGTAGGAGGGAGGGAGGGAGACTGACAGGCAGGCGCCCCCGGGTCCTCCTGACTGGGTGCTTCTGTTTCCTCTTCGTTTTCATGGGCGGGTGTTTTTCCTCCTTAGCTGTGGTTCTGAGTGATGCCGCACAATATGAGGGAGGCCTGACCTACTTAGCGAGCTTGTACAGCATTTCTTATTTCTCATTAGCGAGGCTTCTCCTTCCCTGTTTCTGTCAATCTCTTCAGCCGCAAAAGAAGCAAAACTGGGTTAGGGCTTGAAGTTTGACAAAGGTGTGTTGGCAGCGGAGATGTGTTTGGCGCCGGGAAGGAGGGGAAGGTTTCCTAATGCATTTTTTCAGCAGAAACCGGAACAGAATTAATGATCATTCACATGAGCTTAGCTTCTCTGCTGGGGAAATACAGCGGTGTCTTGACCCAAGTGAAGTTGTTGGCATTTTCCCATTCTTAAGATCTGTGACAAAGTTAAGGTAAAGGTAAACGCACCCCTGACCATTAGGTCCAGTCGTGACCGACTCTGGGGTTGCGGCGCTCATCTCGCTTTATTGGCTGAGGGAGCCGGCGTACAGCTTCCGGGTCTTGTGGCCAGCATGACTAAGCCGCTTCTGGCGAACCAGAGCAGCGCACGGAAACGCCGTTTACCTTCCCGCCGGAGCGATACCTATTTATCTACTTGCACTTTGATGTTCTTTCGAACTGCTAGGTTGGCAGGAGCAGGGACCGAGCAACGGGAGCTCACCCCGTCGCAGGGATTCAAACCGCTGACCTTCTGATCGGCAAGTCCTAGGCTCTGTGGTTTAACCCATAGCGCCACCCACGTCCCGTGACAAAGTTAGTGAGTAGTTAATAAAGTGAGTAGTTCAAAATGTTGGTGCTGACCTTTAAAGCCCTAAATCCGGGGTAGGCAGCCTAAGGCCCATACAAACACACACCTTATAAAACCGCTAAACTCCACCTTCCCACCCTCCTGGTGGTACGAAATAACCGGCCAAATGTAGGCACAAACCCTCTCTTTCCTTAACTGTCCACCTATTGAATCCTGGGCCAACAGCCAAAAAAAGGCCAAAATATGGATGAATAAAGACTGTCCAGCATCTTGCATCCGGAAGAGGCTGCTGTCTGTGAGCCTGTTCACTGATCCTTGAGGAAGTGTACCTTACCCTTTCATAAACAGACCTTGTCTCAAAAGTTCTGTAAGCAGCGGCTGCACGGACACCCTAATAGGATGTTGCAAAAGCAAATTTGGAGTGTCTGTTCAGGGTTTGACTGGAAGGTGCACCTCCCAGCTCCAACTCTTTGGAAAGGGGTGCGCAGGAAAGAGACTGTAAAGACAGAAGCTTAGTGAAATATTGTGGGCAAATCATTTTATGCATTAATCAGATACAGTGGTACCTTGGTTCTCGAATGCTGCAAACCCAGAAGTAAGTGTTCTGGTTTGCGACCGTTTTTCTGCAGCCAGTCGGAAGCCGCGCCTTGGTTTTCGAATGGTTTCGGGAGCTAAACAGACTCCCGGAATGGATTAAATTCAAGAACCATGGTACCACTGTATTGTGAAGGCCCACTAAGGCATTGACAGCAAATTCCCCTGTCTCTCCCCTGCCCTCGTTGTAATTTAGAGCCATTTGCACCCAGCAATCTGTTGCAAAATGTAGGGTTAGGGTGGGTTTTGAACCTGGAGGACCTGGGTTCGAATCTCACCTTGGCCCCAGGCTCAGCTGCTTCCAGTATCCTTGGGAGTAGGGAAGGACCTCCTCAGATCTTGCATGGCTTTGTTGTGATCCCTGCAACAACTGTTTGGGGTTGTGTCTTGTGCTGGCCTTGGGCCTAACGTTGCATTCCAGGACAGTTGCCTTTCTAAATCAGTGAGCGGATAATACATTCATCTTTTGCACTGGAGAGAATTGGTTCCCTTTTGGGCAGCGGTAGAGCATTTGCTTGGCATGCAGAAGGTCCCAGCCAGGTGCAATCCTGAGCATCTCAAGGAAGGACCAGGAGAGACTCAGGCCAGAGAATCCTGGAGAGCTGTTGCCAGTTAGAATGGACGGTATGTTGCTAGATGAACCAATGGCCATACCAAGTCAGTTTCATGTGTTTTAAAACCAAAGGGCGTCACTGAAGTGCCACAGAATGGTGGGTGGCAAGAAGACGAGACGGTGACCCCGTTCTGTGCCTGCCCCAAAGCTTAGTGCCCTTCCTTTCCCTGGTGCCTGCTCTTCTTTCTGAATCTCATTGTGCTCATCCATCACCCCTATCACGGTGAGATTCCTAGCAGCCTGTTTGCCTGGAAATGAAGACGAAAGTTCGGGATGAATCCAGATAGGATGGCTTCAACTTGCACATGGGACGTTTAAGAGTTGCCATTTCGGTAAAAACACGTCGACTGTAGTCTACTTTTTCACGAAGCGCATTGTCAAAGGAAGGCTCACCTGGAGCCTTTATAGCATGTATTTAGGCACCAAGCAAAAACTTTATTCTATAACCAGGCTTTTGACTGTCTGTGGCCTTTTAGAAGTGGGTGAGATGTTTTTAATCCATTTCTTTCCCCTCTTGGGTTTAATGAATCTCTGTGGGAGGTTTTGCCTGTCTGTTTGGTTGGTTGTAAGTCGTTTCTGTGAGATAAAGTGAATACTAATAATAATGAATACTAATAAATAAAGGCTTATGGAAACCCCTATAAAATGGGGAGTTTTGCAGGGCCGTGGAACAGTGGCTTAACTGTAAATGATTTTGGGCATCTGAATAAAAGGACGTGATGGGTGGAAACAACAGCATGGAACTGGGGAGGTATCCCCTTCAGGTTGCCCCCAAGTTAGAAATGCTTCTGTGAAGTATTCGGAGAATGCAAGGTTGTCTTTTTATGTTGGGGATATAGCAGAGCTCAGGAGACTGGAATTTGCAGGTTTTGTTATGTTTTTAATATCAAGGAAGCTGGCTGGCAAGACACTCAGCCGCATCTTATGAGGAATTTAATAACGGTATGTTGTTGGATGCAAATGTGCAAATGTGAAAGGGGGAAAAAATCTATGAAATGAAAAGAGAAAAAGAAAGAGAGGCAATATCCCTTCTTGTCTCTCAGCTGCAGTTGACCCCTTCACCTTGATGGGGCCGGAGTTTCAAGACGTTCCTTTGCAGCATCCCTTATTAAGGAATGTTTTCAGTTCCAGGGTAATATTCCTCGTGTCAGAATGGCTCAACGCAGAAGCACTGCAGAACGCACACGAGCTAATAATATTCTGACTATTATTATTTTTTGAAAAAACATTGATCTGACAAGCCTGCTCCTGTGCCTTGTTCTGTTTTCTTGTGCTTTCCCGAGATTCCGGTATTTGCACAGCAACATGTCTTGAGTGTGTTCTGTCTCGGGGACATTTCTGAAAACACTGCCGTATAAAGGCACAGCCCTACAAATTGCTCTGTTCTTCTAGATCTCTATCTCTTTATCGAACGTTTTGTGCATGGGATCCTCTTCTTATCGAATGCTTCATGCATGGGGTCCATTGCGGCCTCATTCTGCGACAAGAAGTATAAGGGCTGCATCTAGACGTAGGAGGAGCAGAATCAACACCTGCATGCTCAGGTCCACAAAGCAGATACCTGTTCGAATTCCTAGCCCTGGGACCTAATGGCTTCCAATGTGGCTGCACTCACGTGCAATGTTAAACCAGACCTCTCCAAAGTGGTGCTGTCCAGGTAATTTTTGTCGTTTAGTCGTTTTGTTGTGTCCGACTCTTCGTGACCCCCTGAACCAGAGCATGCCAGGCCCTCCTGTCTTCCACTGCCTCTCACAGTTTGGTCAAACTCATGCTGGTAGCTTCGAGAACACTGTCCAACCATCTCATCCTCTGTCGTCCCCTTCTCCTTGTGCCCTCCATCTTTCCCAGCATCAGGGTCTTTTCCAGGGAGTCTTCTCTTCTCATGAGGTGGCCAAAGTCTTGGAGCCTCAGCTTCAGGATCTGTCCTTTCAGTGAGCACTCAGGGCTGATTTCCTTCAGAATGGAGAGGTTTGATCTTCTTGCAGTCCGTGGGACTCTCAAGAGTCTCCTCCAGCACCATAATTCAGAAGCATCAATTCTTTGATGATCAGCCTTCTTTATGGTCCAGCTCTCACTTCCATACATCACTAGTCCAGGTAATAATATAATAGTATTATTTGTCGCCTGCCATCTGAATGGGTTGCCCCAGTCACTCTGGGTGGCTTCCATCAGCTACAAAAACATAATCATGGCTGTCTTCTAAAACATGGGACACGGGTGGCGCTGTTGTCTAAACCACTGAGCCTCTTGGGCTTGCCGATCAGAAGGTCGGTGGTTCGAATCTCCGTGACAGGGTGAGCTCCCGTTGTTCGGTCCCAGCTCCTGCCAACGTAGCAGTTTGAAAGCACACCAGTGCAAGTGGATAAATAGGTACCACTGCAGCAGAAAGGTAAACGGCGTTTCCGTGCGCTCTGGTTTCTGTCGCGGTGCCCTGTTGCGCCAGAAGCAGTTTAGTCATGCCGGCCACATGACCCGGAAAACTGTCTGTGGACAAACACCGGCTCCCTCGGCCTGAAAGCGAGATGAGCGCCGCAACCCCGTAGTCACCTTTGACTGGACTTAACCGTCCAGGGGTCCTTTACCTTTAAAAAAACTTGTATGTAGAACTTCTGTCTTATTTTCATCTGGCAGGAGGGCTTTGCACAGGGCGGGCGCCACTACCAAGAAGGCTCTGCCTGGTTTGCTAGACTACAACTCGCACCATCCCAGAGTCCCTCAACTTCTGGAGATTCGAAATCCTTGCCTTAAGAGGCAAGGGCTCATTTTTTTTGATATACGAGCACCTGGAGGAAAGTGAGGGATGTGCCTGTAAACAAAGGCAGAGATGGGCCACCCTGGGATTATGTAACGGTGAAAGAGAGTAGCCTCTTTGCTGCCTCCTGGCAAACCTTGTGTGCCGTTTCACGTTGCATTAGCCTCTTGTGTGAGTCGCCCCGAAGCTTTGTGCCTTTCCCGGTGCCTGCTCTCTTTCCGAATCTCATTGTGCTCATCCATCACCCCTATCGCGGTGAGATTCCTAGCAGCCCGTTTGCCTGGAAATGAAGACGAAAGTTCAGGACGAATCTGGATAGGATGGCTTCAACTTACACATGGAACGTTTAAGAGTTGCCATTTCGGTAAAAACATGTCGACTTTAGTCTACTTTTTCACGAAGTGTGTAGTTAAAGGAAGGCTCACCTGGCGCCTTTATAGCATGTAATTTGACACCAGGCAAAAACTTTATAAACTTCTATATTCTATTCTTTATTCTATAACCAGGCTTTTGACCATCTGTGGCCTTTTAGAAGTGGGTGAGATGTTTTTAATCCATTTCTTTTCTCTCTTGGGTTTAATGAATCTCTGTGGGAGGTTTTGTCTGTCTGTTTGGTTGGTTGTAAGTCGTTTTTGTGTTGCCCTGGGTGAGATAAAGTGAATACTAATAATAATGAATACTAATAAATAAAGGCTAATGGAAACCAGCGCTTGCAAATATACCTACGTTTTCATATGATAAATCCATGTAACGGAGACATTCCAGAAGAAAAGTGAAGCATGCCGAAGAATAAATGTCCATTCGTTTAAAAAGAAACCCCTGAATTGTCTGAGCTGCCCTCTTAATTTGTTTTTCTCTCATTTCACCTCTTAGAAAGCCCACCGGCAGCGATGTCCAGGAACGGCTACTTCTTCGAAGAAACAGGCAAGTAGAATCCTACCTTACGAGTAGCAAACTCATCTTCTGCTAATGTAGCCCAAATGGCAACACTCTGCGCTGCAACACCTTGTTGCAGAGCCCACATGTTTGTTTGTTTTATCTCCCGCTGGCTGACTTCTTTGCATTTGATCTCTTTTGCTGTTTGTTCTCCCTTCAAAACAGCAGTTCCCAAATGTTTCCTGGAGGGCGGAGGCTCGCTCCCTTCATCCAGAACTTAGCAATCAGAAATCTTATCATTTCTTGCGGCGTCCTACGGGGAGTTAATCTTGTTCTCCATTGCTATTCACCATTTATATGAAAGCACCGGGGGACTTTGTCAGGGTGTGACGCACAACTCCATCTCTCCATGCCATCTGAATCGGGAGAAGGCAGGTCAGGTGTTTGCCCGTTGCCTGGAGGTGGCGATGAGATGGATTGGGGCCAATAAATAGAAACTGGCATGATGGAGGGTCCTCTGCGTTACGAGCTTTTGGGTCCAGGAAGCAAGTAGATTTCCCTTTCTAGGGAATGTGGCCCTCGCCTAGAGGGATGATAATAATAATAATAATAATAATAATAATAATAATAATTTATTATTTATACTACGCCCATCTGGTGGGAGGGCGTTCCACAGGGCGGGCGCCACTACCAAGAAGGCCCTCTGTCTGGTTCCCTGTAACTTGGCTTGCAGCAAGGGAACTGCCAGAAGGCCCTCAGCGCTGGACCTCAGAGTCCGGGCAGAATGATGGGGGTAGAGATGCTCCTTCAGGTATACTGGGCTGAGGCCGTTTAGGGCTTTAAAGGTCAGCACCAAGACTTTGAATTGTGCTCGGAAATGTACTGAGAGCCAATGTAGGTCTTTCGGGACCAGTGTTATGTGGTCTCGGCGGACGCTCCCAGTCACCAGTCCAGCTGCTGCATTCTGGATTAGTTGTAGTTTCCGGGCCACCCAACCTCTGCTTAGAAACCTCCAAGGAGTCCACCACCTCCTGAGGTCGTCCATTCCACTGCCAAGCAGCTCAAGAAAGTTACTTGGAATCTATTTTCTTGTCATTTGACTCCATTGGTTTGGGTCTTCCCCTGCGGAGCAGGAGAAAACACGGTTGCTCCATCTTTGATGTGACAGCCCTTCCAATATGAAAATAGCTGTTATCTCCATCTCCTGTGGATAGCTCAGTTGGTAGACCACGAGGCTCTTAATCTCGGGGCCGGGAGTTCGAGCCCCACACTGCACGATAGATAACCCTTGCGGTCCTTTCTGACTCTACAATTCTGCAATTCCTCTTTCCCAGCTCTCAGCTGTCCTTCGTAAGGCTTTGTTTCCGAGACCCCTTCATCATCGCCCTCCTCTGCAAGTAACATGGCTTAATGGTCCTGAGCGATTTGCAGCCCTCCCTGGTTACATGGGTAGCAGCGGAGTTGCCTTGCTTAGTGCCTCTCCGTCTTGGCGAACTCCAGGGATCGACTAATTGGTTTTGCTGGCAATGCAGAGCTGCAGTCTTGCTCCAGGGCACTGAGGTCCCCAGACAGCTCCGGTTGTTGTCTCTGGTTCCTCTGTCTCTCCACCCCCCCAGCCTTTTTGAATTGCATTCCCCCCCCCCCATTACTTTTGTCATTGCGTTTGGTATGTCTGCCTTGTTTATAACTCTCCAAATTCTTTGCCTGACTGTGGAATTAACCCAAATGCTTTACTGAAGCAAATCCATTCAAGATGGTCCTGGGATATTTCCTTGCTGTCTGCCTTGTTTTACCAAATGAACACACAGACAGAAACACATAGTGACTTGTCAAGGGGTCTTGGAATGGCAGACTCTCCTTTCTAGGGCAGATCCATACTGCTGGCTGCATGCATGGTTCTTTAACCAGAGGGGATGGGGAGCAGGACTATTGCATTGCAAGCATTGCTGTAAGGTAAAGGGTAAAGGGACCCCTGACCATTGGATCCAGTTGCAGATGACTCTGGGGTTACGGCACTCATCTCGCTTTACTGGCCGAGGGAGCCGGCGTACAGCTTCTGGGTCATGTGGCCAGCATGACTAAGGTGCTTCTGGTGAACCAGAGCAGCGCACGGAAATGCCGTTTACCTTCCCGCCGGAGTGGTACTTATTTATCTACTTGCACTTTGACGTGCTTTCGAACTGCTAAGTTGGCAGGAGCTGGGACCGAGCAACGGGAGCCCAACCCATCGCGGGGATTCGAACTGCCAACCTTCTGATCGGCAAGTCCTAGGCTCTGTAGTTTAGACCACAGCACCACCCGCGTCCCAGCTCTGGGGATATTGTCAGGCATTAAAAAAAGTATCTGGTACAAATAGGACAAAGTAAAGAAATAGAACTCAATGGGAACTCACAAAGCAGACTTCTGTACATGCAGTGGAACTTCTCTCCTCTCCTGTTCCCTTCAGCCCTCCTTGCACCCTCAAAATCATCTCTGGAGGGTTGAGGGACCCTCCAGAGCAGATTTTGTGGGTATATGCAGAGGGGTAAAGGTAAAGGGACCCCTGACCATTAGGTCCAGTCATGGCTGACTCTGGGGTTGCGGCACTCATCTCGCTTTATTGGCCAAGGGAGCCGGCGTACAGCTTCTGGGTTATGTGACCAGCATGACTAAGCCGCTTCTGGCGAACCAGAGCAGCGCACAGAAATGCCATTTACCTTCCCACCGGGGCGGTACCTATTTATCTACCGTATTTTTCGCTCCATAAGACGCACCTGACAATAAGGCACACCTAGTTTTTAGAGGGGGAATACAAGAAAAAAAATATTCTTTAAAGGGAGCGCTGAGCAGAGCCTGTATGCGTCCCTTTCACGAGCCGCGTGGAGCGTGTGTGCGGCACTTGCAGGCTTTTCCCCGAGGAGGGAGAAGGGCAGCCCATCACTGATGGCTCTTTAAAGGGAGTGCGGCTCTTGGGGGTTTTCCAGGAGGTGGGGGAAGGGATAGAGGGGCTAAGCCAGGAGCTAGAACAGCAAGAGGGAGCGTGGCATAGCCATCCCTCTTGCTGTTCTGGCTTCTGGGATAGCTGTGCAGCCTCCATTCGCTCCATAAGACGCACACACATTTCCCCTTACTTTTTAGGAGGGGAAAAGTGTGTCTTATACAGCGAAAATACAGTACTTGCGCTTTGACGTGCTTTCGAACTGCTAGGTTGGCAGGAGCAGGGGCCGAGCAACGGGAGCTCACCCCGTCGCGGGGATTTGAACCGCCGACCTTCTGATCGGCAAATCCTAGGCTCTGTGGCTTAACCCACAGCGCCACCCGCGTCCCAGCATTGCTGTAGGATGGTGCAAAGGACAAGGATCCAAGGAAGCCGAAAAGAGCCGAAAGCAACATGTGCCCACAGTTTTTCCGTTTTGCCTGTTCTGCCTCCTGCCATTTGCCATCTCACCTGTAGTTAAGACTTCATGCCGTCGAGGCATCTCAAAACCTGCGGAATGGTTTACATTCCTTCCTACTTGCAGCCAAAGACTTAAGGAAACCAGATGGAGAAGGCTACAGTTTATAGTGTATTCTGGGGTCTCCGTTAGGACCTGCAGGAAAAGTCTTGAGACTCTCCGGCTTGTTTATATTGGGGGTGGGAAAGGGGGGGGAGGGTAAAGGAATGTTGATACTGGGAATACTTTGCGAAAAGTCTTGCCAATTCTGTCTGATTTGTATTTAAAGCATCTGCCCCCCCTCCCCACCCGCCGCCAAACTGACAAGTTTAGAAAAGGGAAAGGGTGAATGGGGGGGGGGGAGTTGGGGGAGCCGGAGCTGGCTGGAAAAGGCCGAGGATGAAGCCTTCTGATTTTGCGTGCAAATTCTCTCTTTCGTATGAGAGCTAGATTATAGATTAAATGCAGCGCTCCAGCGCTGTCGGGAATAGTGCCGCAGGGCTCACTTTGAGACAAATCTCGAGCGATCTGTGCGACTTAAAGGTTTGTGCGGTTCTTCAAGCTGTGTTGACACACAAACAATTATTTTCAGGATTAAAAAAAAGGAAGAACCAGTTCAGGCATTTCAAGCGTCTTTTTCAGAACCTAAGGAAATCCTGCCCGCTGGATGGGGCCAAAGCGGGTTGGACTAGATGACCACTGGGTACCTTCCAACTCTAGGATTCTGCTCCTGCACTCCATTCTCACAGGGACCAACCAGATGCCCATGGGGAATCCGGAAGCTGCATCTCAATGCACCAGCACCCTCCTCGCTTGTGATTTACACCGGTTGGCAGCCTTCCTGGGGGATGCCAGGACTTGAACCCGGGACCTTCTGCTTGCACAGCTAGTGCTGTGCCACTCAGCTACGGTCCTTGCCAACTCAAGAGGCAGCCACATAATCATGTGCACTTTGGCTGTTCACTTCTTCTTCTTCTTCTTCTTCTTCCTCTTCTGGATATTTATTATTTATTTTTCTTTTTTTAAAAAAATACTTAAAATATCAGGGACTTCCCTTCTTCTCCTTCCATGCTTCATTTTGCATATCATAAATCCCTGCATATTTTACATAAACTGAACCATTCAGTATTCTATTGTTACATCCATCAAGACTTATTTACACTTTTGAATTTATCTTAATGCTGCCAGCATTTTCAAGTTTATACAGTCCCCCCCATATATTCAATAAACATTTTCCAATCTTCTCTAAACGTATGTTCTTCTTGTTCTCTTATGTTTAGTCCGCAAGCTGTGCGTATTCCATCAGCTTAAGTTGCCATTCTTCTTTAGCTGGGACCTCGCTCGGTCTCCATTTTGGGGCTAACGAAACACAAGCTGCAGTAGTGGCATACATAAATAACCTTTTTTGACACCTGGGAATTTCCATCTGAATTATCCCCAAAAGAAAGGACTCTGGGGGTTTTTTTTGGAACACTACTTTTAAACACTTTTTTCAATTCATTATGGATCATTTCCCAATACTCTTTTACCCTTTAATAGGTCCACCACATCTGAGAGAACGTTGCCTCCATCTCTTTGCATCTCCATCACTTACCTGATTCAGTCTTTTACATCTTAGCAAGCCTGCTACTCCGACTCTTCTGTCTTTCCCCCCCATTTTATTGCACACATGTGATTTGTTTGTATGTTGGTGCAGAAGGAGGGTGCTTCAACCCTTTCTCTCTTACCCCAACAGCGCTCTGGATCCGTGCTTATCTAGAAACCTGCAGGGTTGGTGCAGCAGCGGAGTAGAGTTCAGTGGGAATGCAGTTGCTGCGATTCGGGTTAGGCGTGTCTCTTCCTGCTCCCCCTTGCTGCTTCTTCTTCTACACCAGCGTGGTGTAGTGGTTAAGAGCGGTAGACTCGTAATCTGGTGAACCGGGTTCGCTTCCCCGCTCCTCCACATGCAGCTGCTGGGAGACCTTGGGCCAGTCACACTTCTCTGAAGTCTCTCAGCCCCACTCACCTCACAGAGTGTTTGTTGTGGGGGAGGAAGGGAAACGAGATGGTTAGCCGCTTTGAGACTCCTTAGGGTAGTGATAAAGCGGGATATCAAATCCAAACTCTTCTTCTTCTTTCTTCTTCTTCTTCTTCTAGTCCAACCCCCTGCAACGCAGGAATCTCAGCTAAAGCATCCCCAGCAGATGGCCATTGAATCTCTGCTTAAAATCCTTCAAAGAAGGAGACTGCACCATATTCTGAGAGAGTCCATTTCACTGTCAAACTGCTCCAGAGCCAGTGTGGTGTAGTGGTTAAGAGCAGTAGTCTCGAAATCTGGGGAACCGGGTTCGCGTCTCCGCTCCTCCACATGCAGCTGCTGGGTGACCTTGGGCCAGTCACACTTCTCTGAAGTCTCTCAGCCCCACTCACCTCAGAGAGTGTTTGTTGTGGGGGAGGAAGGGAAAGGAGAATGTTAGCTGCTTTGAGTCTCCTTAGGGTAGTGATAAAGCGGGATATCAAATCCAAACTCTCCTTCTTCTTCTTCTTCTTCTTCTTCTTCTTCCTTTGGCAATCACTTTGTCGAGTAAGATTGTCTTCCATAAACATGGTTTTAACAGCGGGTTCGTAAGCGACTGTGGAGGCCAATTCTGGATCCACACGTCCTTCCGCAGTGGGGACATTGGTTCCCGGGTGGGAGTTGATCGTGGCGAGGGTTTGCACCAATTGCCGATCGCCGTGGGACTTTGGGTTAGGGATGGGTTTTTGCAAGACGCCTGTGCGTGATTTGTATTGTGTGTGTAGATCAGTGCACACTGACCAATGCACAGTCTTCGCAGTAAGGCTCTACAGTGGTACCTCGGGTTACAGACACTTTAGGTTACAGA